TCACACATCAGAGAATGCATGATAACTATTGTACAATTATTCTAACAATTTCTTTTTACATCTCTCTTATATAATGCATTTATTTTATTGCTATGTGCAATTATCTGCCGTATTTATTAAGGAGCTATCGTCTGTTTTTGGGCTGTGGAATGAGTTATACGAATTACAGTGTATTCTTTTGTGAATATTTGAACCAACAGGCAAATAATTTAACATATGAAGTAGGTCCTGGAACAAGTTAAATTCATATGTAGAGGTTCTACTGTACTTCTGATTTTCCCATGTGTAATGTATATTTTTTACAAGTCTACTAAGTACCACTAATAACATTTTAAACAAATTTCAGTTGCTTCCTTTTAATTTTACTATAGTAAACGCATTCTACTTTTCCTTTCTTATTTATAGAGGGAGCTCACATTCAATGTCTGCCTCCACTACACCTATACCAACATGGATGAAGAGGTACAAGAAAGGCTGCCTGTATCTGTGGGCAAACCGCTGGTCTCCAAACTCAATCTGCATGAGCCAAGACCCTTTCTTGACTGCTCTGCGCCTCCATCCAACAGCCTCGACTCCTTCAACTCTCCTGAGTGCTCCTCCTTTGCTGAGGAATTTACCTCTGTCGGTTCTGCCTCACACACATGGTCGTACCCGGCACAAACTAGCTGTGAAGTCTCCCATGTTGACTCTTTGAATGCATCCACGACTCCCAATGTGCCAGAAGAGACTGAGTGTTCAGAATTTTGTGGTACCCAGCGGCCTCTCGTTGAGACAAAAAGCTTGCCCCACGGCCAAGTAAATGACACAAACTACAAATTCAGTGACTTGTACAATTTCCATTCCTTCTAAGCATTAAGCAGGCATCACTACACATTTACAACAAATTGATTTATGATCAAAAGCAATTATGTGTACATTAGTTAATCTTAATGTATAGAGCTGATATCTTAACCATGCAATAGTGTTTGTTTTATTAAATCATTGTTTGATGTATTTTATTTTCTAAAAAGGATTAAGAAATAAAATCTTGCTTGCTCTTAGCTTTTTGTAATCTGAACATATCTTGTAAATAAAATATGAAAGGATCTTGTTCCTAGCTGTGCAGAATTAGTATGAGTTTTTGCTACAATGCTTGATAGCCTTTACGTGTGCTTCAATTTCTGCGCTAACTCTTGTCTACGCATGCGCCATTACGTCAACGTACGTAATCGTCCGCCATTTTGCAGTCGCTTTGCAAGCTTGCTGCTTCCATTCGTGGTGCAGCCGCCGTAGTTATAAATATTTCTCGAGGATTTCTTTCAACGTGGAGAGACCATTTTTACGTGCAAAACGATGGCAAATTTGTCAGCCGACGTGGAGGTCCCTGAGGGTGCAGAAGTCCGCAAACTGTCGGAACTTAGGGTCATCGATTTGAAGGCCGAGCTGAAGAAACGAAACCTGGACACGACTGGCGTTAAGAGTGTGTTGTCGGAGCGTCTAAAAAAGGTCCGTAACTCACAGTATTATTTAACACAGCGATAGTTAGTACGAAGTATGTCGCTAAAAAATAATTAATTTCAACTACGCTTTGACGGCGACCTGTCAGAAAAGCTAGTGGCTGCTCTAAGCTACGTGTGTTAGCTTACGATGCCATTGGCTCAAACTGTTAACGGCTAGCAGACGTTTTCGTCAGAACACACTCGAAATGTTCCAACTTTTGTCGTTAAAACATTTGGTGGTTTAAAAGATCATCCTTTGTAAGACTTATTTTTCTCCTAAACTAATATTGCCCTGTTCATTTTTAGGCTATCGAGGACGAGGGTGGAAATCCAGATGAGATAATTGTCACACCGGAGTCGACCACTAAAAGATCCACCATCACCCCCAAGCGAGCCACCAAAGGTAGAATCAGCTTCTGATGTGTCATAGAAAGCCTTTTTCCCTTCATGTAAACATCCGTGTAGGAAAAATGTGCCAAAATGACCGGTGCGGTTATATAACAGACACTGAGAGCTCCTAGTGGTTATTTTACCTCCCTGTCTGAGCTGCAATAAAATAAATCTATTTAACAAACGCACCCTGGCTACCAGTGTTATCCAGTTATTTTGTAAATATAAGATCCTAAATGGGATGTTTTGCACCTGCAGGTGGAAGAGGGGTTAGTTTTTAGTGCAACCTGCAACATAGCTCTGTGTATGAAAGTGTATCTATTATTTTTTCCAGATATAAGGCAAGAGAATGATGAGTCAGAGGAGGCCGTGATGGGGGAGGATTCCCATGATGGACACGTGAGTTTGTTGAAAGATTTTTTCGTATTCTTTAAGGGTTGGGCCACTGCCGTTTTTTTTTTTTTTTGGTAAAGTGTTCATCTTTTTCCCGTCAGCAGGACCTGGATGAACATGAGAACATGCAGGACATGGACATCCTGGACATGAATGTGCTGGATGAGACTGAGAACGACAGCGGGATTCCGGCCGAGGACCACATGGACGATGAAAACTTTGACCGAGATGACGACGACGACGATGCGTTGTTGGAAGACGACCACGAGTTCAGAGCTTTTGACTCGGAGGATGAAGTGAGAGGTCTAGAGGTGAGGGACTGGACACCCACATTAGAATAAAACTCGGATACTTTAAAGTGAAACATCTTAATGTGACCGGACGTGTATTTTAACAGCTGGACCAGTGTGATGCTTTTGATAAGGATGAAGATATGACCTATTCATCGAACAACCAGGTACGTCTCCCCCCATATGGGCTTAAAATTTTAATTTAACACATTCCTTGATATTTTCCGTTGAGATTAATTTTTGTTTCTTTTTTAAAGGACTTGGATGCGGGTGATGCAAAAGAACAATCAGGTACTGTAGAAGGAAGTTGACCAGAAGATCTCTTTTTTTTTACAGTGTTGAGCTTGCTAACACGTTGTTTAGATGCAACCAGGAGGAGAGACTGGAAACCCAAAGGGAATTGCTGTCTGTGTGTTGAAGTGGGCTAACCATAAAAGAACCATTTCAAGTAAACTAAAATGATCCGAGTTCACCCTCCGTGTTGGTGACTGCTTAAATGCCCGTGGTTAACACGCCGAGGCACGCTGACAGCAATCACATCTCATGGTCAGGGAGCTTTGAGCTGTTGAAGGTGAATGCAGTGTTTCTAGGTTGCCACAAGAAAATCAAGCCACAGAAGACCCCCTCCCATCAAGACTCACTGGCTTCTTCCGCTTCCGAAAGACTCCGAAGCCGAAAAACAGCCGGAACCGAACCCACTGGACTTGACTCGAAGTTCTGATCAGTATAAATGGACTCTGGACTTGTCAATGGCTGAACCAAGACTGACCGCAGCGAGCCCCCCCTGCTGCATGGCTGTTTCCTTGGCTCCCCTCAGCACCGGACTCTTTATCTGCTTTGGTGAAGTCGTTCAGCTTGAGAATGAGCCAAAGCGTTAGCCCCCCCCCACCCCCTTTAGTTGCTCGGTTGTCATCCAGCCTTTGGGTTCTCTTCCAGTCTCTTCATTAGGGTCTACTTCATGGTTTTAATACCTAGTTTTAAGAGCACAGGTGGTCATGACGTTCCTAATCCAGGCCTTGCCAGTTCCTCGTTTACCATTGATGTGTTTCAGAAGTGATTAAACTCTGTGCCATTCTATTCCTGTTAAATCCGTAGAAAATGACAAAGTAGCCGGGTCTTGTTTATCTGAGCCACTTAAAGAAGATCCCCACCCGAGCCAGGAGATGAGCCCTGACGAAGAGCAAGCTGCCGCGGGCCGGGGGGAAGACACTGTGTCCAACTCTGAGGCCAAATCCGACCACGCTGCCTCTGGAGATGTGGACCGCGACAAGGATGATGTGGAGCCGGGGGCCAAAGAGGAGGTTGGGGGCGCGCAGAGCGCCCCAGAAGAGACATTTGACAGTGAAAAGGAAAGCTCGCAGGCTGTTAGTGTAAGCGAACAGGGCGGCACGGGTGAAACTGTTGATTCAGAAATGGGGGCTAAGAAGGGTGAGGAGGATGAGAAGACAGAAGAGAACGCTGCTCCGGATTCAGCTCCGACGCTGAAAGAGTCCTCTTCTGTAGAGGGCGATGATCAGAAAAAGAGGTTTGTTGCTTTCTGTATACTAGAAAACCAAAAATGGTTATCTGTTGCATTGGCCCCCTTTGTGCTAGCAAAATTTGGATGCTCTGAAGGTAAAAAAAAAAAAGATAAAAGAAAGAATGCTGTGCATTTGTGGTTTGTTTTGTTTTTTGTTTTTTCTTCTCCCGTCTCATTTCTTACACGCACCTATCCGGCTTTATCTGGTAATGAGTAGTGTATTGGGATGTTAAAAAGGGTCGTACTTTATATGCTCCCCATCTGTTTTTCTGCACCGTGGAACGTGACGCGCACACCTGCCTTTGATAGAATCCTTCTATCTGAGAAAGACTCCAGTTGGTCTGGTTGTTGCATGTTCATGGCTGTGTTTTGTTGTTTTTCTCCAGCTCTGAGGAAAAAGATGGCAAGGCCGAATCCAGAGATGAAAAGGGTGGGTCTTCGTGGTTTCTTTATTGGTCTCGGTCTCTCTAGACACGCGCTCATTCATGTGTTTGATGTGTGCAGCTGCTGGAGGTGGTGCTGCAGCCGGCAATAGCAGGAACCTGTGGGTCAGTGGCCTGTCGTCCACCACCAGAGCGACTGATCTGAAGAGCCTGTTCAGCAAATACGGCAAGGTGAGCGCTCCAGATCATCCCCTAAGGCTGGGATAGGTTCACTCGGTTTAATTCAGAGACTGTGTTAACATTTTGGGGACGTTCTTCGACACCTTAAAGGTAGTGGGAGCTAAGGTGGTGACCAACGCCAAGAGCCCCGGGGCCCGCTGCTATGGGTTCGTCACCATGTCGTCGTCCGAGGAGGCCACCAACTGCATCAGCCACCTCCACCGGACAGAGCTGCACGGCCGCATGATTTCTGTGGAGCGGGTGGGTGATGGGAAAAGTCTCCTCATAGGTTTGAGATTCAGGGCTTTTCATATTTAATGGAACGACTGGTTAAACTTGCTAATATGCCAAAATGTGCCTTTAGAAAGTAGACTAAAGAGAATTTGATGCAAGGATTTCCAAATCGCTGTTTGTGGCGGACCACCGCAGCTAAATGAAAGTGTTCCTGTGGAAATTTCAGGCTAAAAACGAGCCTGCGGGGAAGAAGCCAGCAGACAAGAGCGAGGCCAAGAAGCCTGGCAGCGAGAGGAGACACTCCACCGACTCCAAGTAAGGCTGCCAGCTCCATCAGCTGGCCTCAGGCTGGTGTCGAATTTCTTTGTTTTTACCTTTATTTCCATAATGATTCGCCTTTTTGATCGGGCTATTTAATCGCGGTTTAAACTACGCTGTCTTTTTGTTTTGTTTTTTTATGGATTTCTGATGTTGCGTTCTGTTAATGTTTCCAGGTCTGATGGAAAGGATGAGAAGTGTGAGGGAGAAGGAAAAGATGGTAAAGATTAGTCTTTAGATGGCACATGATGAAGTGAACCTCCTAACATTTTCTCGCACATCCAGTGATACTCATGGTTTGACTAACAGGGCAAAACGAGAGGACTGTGGTCATGGACAAGTCCAAGGGCGAGCCCGTTATCAGCGTCAAAACCAAAAGCAAGAGCAGGGACAGAGTGAGTACACCCACCCCCAGCACAGCCCATTCTCCCTTTGACTTTTTATTGCAATCGATGTCTTGATTGTGTCCTGCGACTCCTCAGAGCACAAAGAGCCGCGATCGCGCGTCCACTAGCAAAGAGCGGAAAGACATCCTGACGTTTGACCAGATCAAAGAGCAGCGGGAGAGGGAGAGGCAGAGGCAGCGCGAGAGGGAGATCCGAGAGGTGGAGCGCCGGCGCTTCACGTAAGGGCCACACGGCTTCCTTAGCTCCTTTATCTTTCCATCTGCGCACACCAGATACAAGACGCGCTCCTAAAAGCCCCCCCTCCCTCCCTCCACGTTAAGAAATTCGATCTTTGTTGCCTCGTTTCAGCGACCGCGACAATCGTCCGGACCGTGAGCGCGAGCGAATCCGTCTGTTCCGCGAAAGAGAAGAAAGGAAGCACATGATGAGGAAGAGACACTGGCTGGAGGTACAGTGGTGCCCCCCCCCCCCGGCGCCGTTCTCTGCCTTCAACCCCCCCAGTTGATGGAGGAGATGCCTCAAACACCTCCAGATGTTCCTTAACAAACCGGCAGCTAATGCTTCCCTCGTGCTGTCATCCTAAAGGCAGAGAAGCAACGCCTGGAGGCCGACCGCATGGAGCGGCAGTTCCTGGAGCGCGAGCGGCTCCGCATCGAGTACGAGAGGCGGCGCGAGCAGGAGCGGATCCTCCGGGAGCGCGACGAGCTGCGCAGGCAACAGGAGCAGCTGCGCTACGAGCAGGACCGCCGCCCCGTCAAAAGGCCCTACGACATGGACGGAAGGTACCAGGGACATCACTACCGATACCGATCCGGGCCTGTCAGAGCATGTGTTAAAGTTATTTAGCCTACTTACTTAGTTGTCAGACTCATGTTGAACAGGGATTTACTCCGATAACAGCTTAATGGTTAGGACACAGACCTGTGGGTTAGGAGATGCTAATGCTAATGCTCATGTGGGATCGGTCTTTAAAAATAACTGGATCGGGAGTCTGTATCTCTATTTTCTCCTGCCGGCCGCAGTTTTTTGCAAATATACAAGCCTAGAAGGTACTCAACCGGGCAGCGTGGGGTCAGTGGATGGGGGGGTGCGTGCCGCCGGCCCTCATCGTGTGCTCTCCCGGTTGTAGGAAAGACGACTGGCCCGATAAGCGCATGGCCATGGACGACCGCTACGGCCGGTCGGACTTCGGCCGCCAAGACCGCTATCAGGACTTCGACCACAGAGAGCGAGGCCGCTTCCAGGACGGCATGGGGAGGGACAACTCTCGTGGAATGGGGGCCGACAGAGATGGACCGGTGAGTGCCAGAGTCCCGTCCGGCTGCCTCCACTCCTAAGAACAAAATCTAAGCCTGAGACGTAGGCTAGAATCCTCAATAAGCAGCAGTACAGTTCACAGTAGGGATGTCCCGATCCAGCTTCTTTCACTTCCGATACCGGCCGATACCGATCCTGGCCTATCAGAGCATGTATAAAGTTTAAAGTTATTTATCTACTTACTTAGTTGTCAGACTCAGATTGAACAGACTTACTCTTGTAACAACTTAATGGTTAGGACACAGACCTGTGGGTTAGAAGATGCTAATGCTCGTGTGAGCTCGGACTTTTAAAAAAAACCGGATTGGCAGTCTGGATCGGCATTTTCTCATGCCGGCCGATACGCAGTTTTTTGCAAATATTGGCGGCCGATCAGATCCAGATATCGGATCGGGACAAGCCTAGTTAACTGTGCTGTTTTACTCCTCAACTCGGACGCAGTTTTTTATAAATGGAAACGCCCTCCGAGAGATTCACACGGGTCTGCCGCCTCCTCTTGCAGCACTTCTCAGACCGACACAGCAGAGAGAGCCGGGAGTCCTGGGGGGGAGGATACGACAAGCGGGTTAACCCCAGGTAAGGCTCCGCCCCCCCCTCTAACGCCGCTAACACCGCCTGACCCAGCCTGGACGCGCTTTGATCCCGCCGTTTTGCCCCTTTCTCCAAGGGAGGGTGGCCGGGACTGGGATTCCAGCCGGAAGATGGACGGGGAGCGGCCGTGGCAGGCCCGCGACGGGGCCCTCCCCGGCCAGAGCCACATAGCGCGCGGGGGCATAGCAGGGTGAGGCTCCACCTCCCGTTTCTACCGTTTTTAAACCATCCAAAACACAGTTTCCAACGCCTGCCTCCCGTCTTGCAGGCGCGGCGGTTACATGAGCACAGGAACGTCCCAGTCCCTGTCCGGAGCGCTGAACAGACAGAACCAGCTGATGCAGGGCGGCGGGCTGCAGGGCGGGGCCTTCGGACGCCGCTACTGAAAAAAAGCCGCCGACAGGACTGTTCCAGGTGGTTATTTCTTGAAGTACGTGACTGTCTTGGTTTTGTATGTTTTGCTTGTTTTTTTTTGTTTTTTTTCCTAAAGATTTGTTACCTTAATTCATTTCCATTTTTGATGGAAAGCATTTCAACACGTCGTTTTTTGCCATGTAGACATCTCCTGTCCTGTATTTATCATTTAGTCCTTCATTCTTCCACTTAGCTGTCGGTGCGTACGATTCTGAACACGTGTTGGAGTTGTCAAAGCTGTTCTAAATTCAGATGTCTATGAAATGCCTGGGTGTATGGACCTAACCTCACAGTCCCTTCCTGTATCCCGGTTTGTCAGGAGCTTTTTAGACTTCGGATGAGGATTTGCTGCAGACCTTTATTTAATTTCGCTTCGGTTCAGACTCAGGCTCCTGCCGATATTCTTTCAGATGATTGTTTTCTCCAGAAGATAAAGGACTTTTAAAAATACATGTCACCTTTTGATCATCAGTTTGACCTTTTTTTTCTTTTTTTTTGTAATGAATCTGAACTGTAGTGTATAAGTTGACTGGATTTTTAGTTTTGTGCATAAAAATGTTGGATGGTTGTTGTTTTTCAGTTAAAGGGGTTTAGTTATTTTAATACAAATTGACTCGGAAAATTCACAGGTTGAAATTAAAATAAAATGTTTTTCATAATTTTCTGTGTTTTTTTTTAAATATATATATATATACAATTTACAAGCTTATTTATGGGCGTGAAGGTCAAGCTGATTAGTATTCAGTTGGTTGTAATGGTAATCCAATCCATTTCAGCTCATGAAATTCAAAAGGTGAAAGGAAACCAGCAGATTGTACCAAATAGAGAAGGATATAATATACAGATATTAATAAATATATCTGATGTAAAAGTGAAAGGATTTCAGACTCAGAAAACCTAAACATGCTTATAATGTGTAACTTGTTTATCAGAACACCTTTGCTGAACATTTATGGTACTTACATTTTTTGCTTAATGGTTTTGACATCTTCAGTCATCTGTTCTATTTTCAGAACAGATACCTTTGAAATTTCCTGTCATTCTTTTTTCAGGCATGATGCTCAAAGATACAGTAGTTAATTCCTATTTAAAAGAAAAAACTAAATGGGAATTTCAACTTAATTTACACATATATAAATGGCTCCAAGTTCCTGTTCTAGAAAGCGAGTTCCTATCCTTTCAGCACATTTGTCCTTATATATCTAGTATAAAGGCTATACTCTATTATACATTATCTGTTCAGTCTTCCTAAAATGTGTGAATATGACTGACATTGGAAGTCCATTTTACAACTCCACCCAATAGAAGTTAAGTCACCTATTTAAAAGTATGTGTTCCTGTTTGTTGTTCGTCAAATAGAATCTTTTCACTCCCAGTTGAAAGAGCAAGCTTCCAAATCAGCTGTATTTGATCTAATTACATCTGATAAGCCACAGTAAACTTAAACTAAACCTTTAAATCAAAGCCTGAAAATCGAAATATTTTCCGTCTGTCCACTAGATGGCACTACATGATCACATTTGGATATGTGAATAATTCAATATTTAGATTTGACTATCAAGTTTATGTAAATACATTTGGCGAGATGGGTGTTAAAGGAAAAAAGTACACCAAACTGATCAGCTCTGGAGTTGGAGACCAATCAGAAACTGTTGCATCCAATCCTGACGTGACGGGCTACAGGAAAAAGAGACAGGAGAGAGGCTCCTGAGCGTGAGAAAGTGTTGAGGATGGACTCGGGGCCTCTTTTCGTCCTGACTGACCGCTCCTTAACTACAAATACACCACCAGATGTAGACCTGGAGTGGACATGAATCAACATGACGACCACTGGGACAGGAAAACACCCGCCAGACCCTCGCGACGCTGTCAGGGGCCTCACAGGCCCGAGGCAGAAAAGGGCCCGTTCAGCGGGGTCAACATGGAAAGGGATGAACCCCAAACACGCCCTCCTGATCTCTGGTGTCGCCCCCCCACCGTGAAACACCATTTACCCAGATTCCTGCTCTCTGGAAGAGGCGTCTAGTTTCCCCAATGTCGGTACTGATTAGTATTTTAAATGGGGAAACACTTTGTGTTTGTGTGTGTGTGTGTGTGTGTGTGTAGTACTGACCAATGCCTGTGGTGGCAAAGATGTTTTCTCATCTGGGAATCCTTAAAAACTTCATTAAGTCCCTGATCTGTTGTGATTGTAAAAAGTCTGATCACAAAGGGACGATCTGATAACAAATCATGTACGAAAGTAATATATCCCTTTGGTTTGTATCATGACTTCCTGTTACTTACGGTTGAAAACAGCTAGTAAATGTGACTTTGATAAATAAACTGATTGTTTCTAATTTGATTATTTCCTTTGATATCAGAATTCTATTGCATAGTCTCACAACAACGCTTTAATAAACTGAAAAGTACTTAAATTCACCAAACTTTACAATAAATTGATATTCTTTAACTATTTAGTGTTGTAAGACGTCCACAAAAGTTACTGTAGCTCACTCATTTCTTCAATTAAGCCACGTGAATTTGTGAAATACATTTATTATTGGATTCATTAAATCAGGTGTGGTGAATTAGACAGATGTTAACAAAGAATTTAGATCAAATCCAATATATAGGTACATTTGGTCTATCAATTTGACATGAATGAAAGTCAATAGATGGCTTTGACACTTGAAAACATCCTTGACTGTCTTTGTTTTAATCTCATAAACAAGTGTATCACCTTTCATTAGGAAGGTTCCAGAGGGGCCCACGGAAATAAGAAACCCGGTTTGATTTCTCAGCAGGTCGCCACCGCACTGTTTGGGTCTCTGAAGGCTCCGACATTACGATCACCACAGGTGACATTGGCCTGCCGAGGAAAAAAACAAAGCTTAAAACCCCCCTCTCATTATGTTTGGATAGATGGACTGGATCGCAGCAGCCATGTTACGGACCAGGAAGTGGAGATCAGCAAACAGGAGCACAAACTTGACGCGGTAGCTGCAGCGTCGGGATACTTAACACCACACCCGAGTCGTAAAACCCGCTCACAAAGAGATAAAAGTCCATTCAAAGTCTTAGGATCCGACTTTGTGATCCGTTTAACCCACAATGCAACCTGACAGCTCTCGTGTCTCGTGCAAGTAGCAGCAACATGTGGTTTGGCTGACACAGAGTACCCCAGGGAAGTCTGAAATCCATTTTTTTTCTCATTTTCAAGGCCTTCAATACATAAGTTTTATTAGTAGACTACAGTAAGAACAAAGAAAGATGACAAGCTTTGGACCCTCACTCATGCTGAGCGTGCAGACCTTATGGAATGCGGTTTGAGATTGGAAAATCGTGTCTCCTGCTATGGTCGTGGTAACAATCAGTTGTGCCAGTGGGCATCATAAGGGTCTATAAATAAAGAACTGGACCTCCTGGTGGCTCCTGGGGGCTGCAGGCATGGACAGCGTGACTCAGGAAAATCAAAGCTTGTGAAATGACAGTCCAGTCTAGCGCAAAAGTAACCGCTCACCCCTCATTACCAAACGACATTTGACAACTTTTTTTTTCTCATTTCCAAATGTTTATTCAGACTGGTGACCTGGTCCGGGGGGTGTAAGCTGCCTCTCATACAGCAGCAGTTCCAGTTCTCCCATAAGGCTACGTGTGTTTATAGCAGGTATGGATCATTTATGCACGAACGGAATTCTGACTCAGGTTAAAAAAAAAGAATGACTTTAACCCTTTAAAGCCCGATCCAAGAAAAGTAGGGAGAATATTTAATTTTTTTTCGTCTGATGTCTTTCTTTGGCCCCTCAACAACATATGAAGAAAAAAAACTGAAATTATTTTGATCAAATTAGCGTGCAATAAGTCAAAAATATATTTTGGTGTAGTCTTCTACTGGCTGTTATCGGGTATATATGAATGTGTACAACAGGGGTTTGAGCAAAGCTTTTACCTCTGAATGATGCAAAAAGTCTCAGATCAGAAACCGTATGTATGAAATATGATACATTTGGCGTTATGGGGTTAATTCCAAGGCCAGAAACTACACACACGTTTGTCCACACGTGCAACCTCGTCTGACCGCTGCCCCCCCCCCCCCCCCCCCCCCCCTGACTCTCCTGAACACCACAACCAGCTGCTGTCACGGGTGAAATTGGGGCCCTCTGATCTGCTGCATTCCACCTCCACGGCACATCTGTGCACAGCCGCGTTTGTAACCCATATGCATGAAATCCGTCCTTTCGGTTGGGGGGTGGGGGGGGTGGGGGGGGGGAGCGTGGCATCTCTGTGCGGGGCAGAAATAAGCGGGCATTTGTGTGTTCCGGCCGAAGTATGCGCCGGACAGTGGGGGCTCTGTGAGGCCCCTGACGTACAGATTGCCAGCAGATGTTGCAGCAACATATGCGCAGCCTACATATTCTGGTTTAACACGGCCCCTCAGCTGCTGACACGCATCCGTGCACGTCGGGTCACGTGCACGCCAACAGAAACAAACACACGTGTGCACGCTGGGACATTTTAGCTTTTATTTTGACGGCAAACAACAACATCCCCACCAGAAACTGGGTTTGATAGATACTTTAGATTTTTGATAGACATTTTACATGCATGTCAGGCGTGAAGAAGAAGAAAAAGAAGGCCGGATTGTCGGCCCCTCAGCTGCTGACACGCATCCGTGCGCGTCGGGTCACGTGCACGCCAACAGAAACAAACACACGTGTGCACGGTGTGACATGTACGAAAAGCTTTTATTTTGACGGCAGACAACAGGGTCCCCACCAGAAACTGGGTTTGATAGATATTTGTGATCTTTGATAGACATTTTTACATGCATGTCAGTAGAAGAAGAAGAAGAAGAAGAAGAAGAAAAAGGCCGGATTGTCGGACCCTCAGTTGCTGATGCGCGTCCGTGCGCGTCGGGTCACGTGCACGCCCGGCAGAAACAAACACACGTGTGCACGCTGGGATATTTACGAAAAGCTTTTATTTTGATGGCAGGCAACAAGGTCCCCAACAGAAACTGGGTTTGATAGATATTTTTGATCTTTGATAGACATTTTTACATGCATGTCAGGTGTGAAATAGAAGAAGAAGAAGAAGAAGAAGAAGAAGAAGAAGAAGAAGAAGAAGAAGAAGAAGTTTTTTTTTGTTTTGTTTTTAGCAAATAATTTATTACTCAATAATTTAACAATAAAAAACGGTACATAATCAGATGGGAGAATACTAAAAACACAATAAATATTTACAATAGCAGCTTATTGTATTTCAGTTCTCCCCAATCACAAACGGTGCAAAATACATTATTAAAACCCCACAGTTCTAAAAAACCCTTCAGATTCCCGGTGACTCTGTGGAAACAAAAGTCCAATCTCAACCTGGCCTTGATACTGACCTTCCACAGAGCCACCGCGTCGAGTTGAGGTCCAGCCTGCATTTTGTCTCTTCGAGTTATATAAACAGCCATTTTGGCGTCAGCTATTAAATCATTTAAAACGCGGGATTTAAAACTAGAAGAAGAAGAAGAATAAGGAAAGTTTGACCATTTAAATCAACCTCTGGTCCAGAAAAAAACACACATCTGCCTTTGGACCTCACCGGTTCCCCACGTTTTGCACGTCTCCGTCTGCCCTTAAGCCTGACTTGCCTCCTACAAAAAACCACCACTGTGGGGGTCTTTAAAGGGGCACGCACCACTTCATGGAGGATAAACGCCCAGTGGTGGACGCACCGGGCAAACACGCGCATATTCATCCGTCAATTAGCTCCGTCGTTAAACTGCCAGCAAAAGCGTTTAACACAACTTCTCTGCGTCTCTCACTGAATAGAGGAATAAAATACAACCGTCCTCACACACACACACACACATGCAAACAAACACAACTTCTCCTTCACCCAAGCCCCTTTTTTACGGCTCTTTTATGGCCTTATTGTGTCTGTCTTGGTCACTCGTAACAGACTCGACGCCCAGTGTGGAGACTTTTTTTTCCCTTTTGTCCTCGCCGGCACATTTAAATCTTGTAATAAGAGGTTTGAACGGGCGAATAAAATAAACAAGTGTGCAAAGTGTGCCAATTTGACCTTTTGTCTTTAGCTTTTTAGCCACGAGTAAATAGGGGGGTGAAACGAGGCTGCTGTTGTTTCCCGAAGGTCCTTGGGTTTCCTGTTGAGTCTGAACGGGTTCTCCGACGGAAGTGGGTTAAAAAGAGCCAGATTAAGGAGAACACGGCGTAATGAGTGTCAACAAGGCAATGAAAATAGTTACGGAGTGACCTTGCGCACGCAGAAATGTGTTCCTCATCAGGCCCGAAAAAGAATGCCGGTGCGTGCACACATGCCTCCAGAAAGCAGATGGGCATGAGGATACAGCGAGGACACAAAAGGAGGATGTAAAGGGGGGAATGAACCAAAAAAAAAAAAATGGAAGGGGATAACTTTTAATGCAATGTGTGTAACCACAAACAGCTGCCACGTCCATTATTGGCTGGCCGGGGATGAAACAGGCCTTTTCAAAGGTGGGAGCCACATGCTGCACGCACATGGCATAACCCCTCACATACAATTATGTCACACACACACACACACACACACACACACGAAGCTACACACCCAGAAGAAAAAGGAGAAAAATCCAGTCAGCAATCTCTTGCGAATTTAATCCCCCTTTTCCGTTTTTTCTCGAATCAGCCTTCTCGATGACTCATCGAAATGAAGCTGTACACTGAGGACTGGAGGTTTACATTTGACTTTTAAAGGTTTTAAAAAAGCATTAAGGACTACACAATATCACCTCCAAAACATGGCACCTGTAGCTAGACCTGAGGAGTACGGCTAGTTTTCCAAGTCCACTTTAAAACCCTCCAAACACATAAACACCCCAGACACGAGAGAGAAAAAGACTCGAGACTGATAAGGAAGCAGGTGGGAAGTATTTATCGCCAGTCTAAATATTTGCAGCGAGTTTTGAAGCAAGCATCCAGTCGGTTTTCACAGTCGTGCGGCTCGACTCGGGGGGGCTCCTCCGGAGGATGGATTAGGCTCCAGTTCCAACGGAGAACTGGGACTCTAACGTGCAGCCTCAGGGTCTGTGGCCTACTTATGAAGAAAAAAAAAAGCACAGAGAACATTCAGGAATCATTTCCCGGCAGGAAATCAACATTCTCTCTGCGGTGATCTTTTGATTTCCTCCAAGGAAAAGCAAAATCAAGCAAGTTGTGTACGAGATAAGTAAAAAAAAAAACAAAAAGCAAAGGCATTCTCTGCTTCTTTATCTCCCTCCATTACTTCTTTGGTTGACATTTAAGTTCCAAGCTGCTGAGAAAGCTGAGTCCAGAGTTAAATATCATTTGGAAGACGTTGGCTGGGTGTGTCTTAAACAGGATATTTACTCGTCGCTGGATAGTGGGATTCATGCGGGTCAGGCGGTTTCAGCCGTAGGAGGCCCGATGCAGACAGAGATCAGAGGCTGAGGGCTAGGCGTTGCTCCTCCGTCTAATCACTGGGTTGGGCCCGCCGGGGCCGGCCGCAAGCATCACCTTCCTGACAATCGCTTCCTCACAAGTAAACAGAGACAGTGTGTAAAAATATACTCGGCGCGATAAAAAGAAACTGGATTTCTGTATTTGGATCTATCCATAAATCAGCATGTGGACCTCTGAGGAAAACAGAGTTTGCCTCAACCTTGCTTCCATTGTTGCGGCATCAAATGTTTCAGGGTTGTGCTATATTTCTGTAAAAACATTTTTAGAAAATTTGTAGACACCCTTTTTCGTTTTTGACAGATTGCACCCGTTGGTGTTTTTTTATGTAAATTCTTAACGCCTTCCAGGTTGGAATGACTACTCCTCTTGTCCAACGGCACAGAGGGGGTTATCGCCCAACCAATGGCTGTTCCAGGCCTGTGTGGTACAAAATGTGGTATGAAAAATATTATTTTTCACGCCCTAATTGTGTTTTTCATAAATATATTATTCACTGACGTTCAGGGGAGAGTGTCCAAAAAGAAAAAACTGTCATCTTCATTTGCAGATCTCAGGGAGTGAATTCAAAAAAGGTTTTCAGTAGTATTAATATATATATTTAACATGCTATTAGATATGCAAATTCATACACAACAACCCAATAGAGGTTGGATATCCCAACATCCAGGTTCTGTGTCAGTGTGTGTCTTTTACCCTCAGTCTGGAGTCCATAAAAGAGGGTACAGTACTCCCAAGCAGGTGTTTTTTGTGTGAAACTCTTCATAAATTCAAGCAAACGCATTTCTCCCATGCCTGCTCAAAACCAACACGTGTGTTTGATTTTGTCTGCTGTTCTCAAGTTTCCCCTGTGCCCCCAAAAGGACGTCACAAAATAGTTAAACTGCTTCCCCACGATACGCACAATGTGTTCTTTACGACTTGTTTTTCTTTTTTTTTGTTTTGTTCTAACTCACAAGACCCGATATTTCATATTTCCCATCAAAGTGTCGGCCAATCAGAGGGCATGGGAAAAGAGAGGAGGGCATCATTTGAATTCGGTTTAGGCTTCGGGGTTGTTTTGGAGTTTAACCATTGGCCCACCAATGAGAAAAGGGGCTGTGTTGCACACCCATACAGCTCAGATCCGTCCTCAAAATGAAAGCGTGGATGGATTATCAGACAGTGGGCCCCCGACTGAAAACAACCCCTGCCTCCCCCCACACTGCCATCTTCACACAAAGAAGAAGGACTTCCAGATTTTTCTTGCTCTTATTTCTAAATGGTAGTTAGAATTGACCTCTGGATACGAATTCTGCTACTCTTTTGTTCACACTGTCAGTTCTGGTCCCTTTTTTGAACGTTTTGTCTCTCAATCATCAGTTTATCTGTTTTAAAAATCCCTTTTGTATCATTTATAGTGTCGTCTTGCATTTCCAAAGCGAGTGTTTCGACACAATCTGAAGCCGAACCGCTGTATCTGTTTCTCTCAGGAGATGCAGACAGATTGTCTGATGGTCGCTTATCTCATCCTGCCAAATCAGGCTCGCCATTAAAATCCCAAACCCTGCAGTACAATGGAAAACGAAGGCCTGTGGAAGCCTGTGTTTGGCTTATGACGCACTCAATGAGCCACTCCTGGGTTTCACAGCTCCTAACAATAAGTGGTGTGATAAAATACTTTTTTAATCAACCCATCCATACCAATAACTGAAAAAAAGAATTCCTCAACTAGTCTAGAACTGACAGATTACTCCCATTAGGCTGGGATCCCTGAGGAACCTCTCATTAAATACTTTTCCAGTCAAACATGTTGTTGTGTGGGTGTAGATCATAAAATATTTCAGTCTAGTCAACACGGAGAGAGAAGGATGTCGAAACCTTTTTATAAAGTTCTTAAGTGAAATAGTTTCCAGTCATTGGGGAGTTCAGGAGAAGAGTGTGCACCCCCAGGTTGTTGGACTCCTCCACAAAAAAAGAACGGAAACAGGGCTTCTTAAAAATTGAAAAAACAAAAAAAATACAAAGATTTGAGCAAGTCTGTTTTTTTTTTAAATCAGAAACCACATAATAAAGGACAGAACATGTAAACAAATGCAATATTGGTTATTTTGAATTTTTTGTCTGTTTTAGAATTTTTATTGTGCGTTTTTTTTTTGTTTTTTTTTACTGATGAGATAAAAATGCATCGTGCTCCGCTCCCAAAAACCAAGAGTCGGAACATTCTAAGTCTGGACAGGAATTTAACTTTTTGGATTCAAATGGAAAATCCTGCACTTGAAAACCTAAAAGCCAACGTCCAAAAAAAGAAAAGTTATAAATCCTGATCTCCAAGATTGAACAACTGAGGAATCTAAAGCGATCGAAAAAGTCTGAAAGTGGATTTTTCAGATGAGGTTTACAGGGTTTTCCTTTTCCAGATCTGTGGGGGGGGGGGGGGGAACTGACAGCTGGTAGCTGCCTCTAATGGCACCGAGAAAATGAAACCTTATGCTGAGGGGCCACCTTTCCTGAGAGGATGAATGATGGTCGGCCCCTCAGTTATTCAAAGCCGGGATAAAGTTTAGTCTCCTCCCTCTGAATCCTACCCAATCGTGTTTGAATATTCAAATGAGCCACCCATAAAGATGACCTGCAGCCGCAACTGTGACAAACCACAAGAAACTTCACCCTTAAACCAACCAAGCAACACCACTTTGTCACCGGTGTCTTGGGTTTAAGTGGACTTACAACTTTTTCGAAACCACCTTCCATAGACATTTCCATCCAGAACCTTTTACTTTGAAAGAACAAACTCATTGATTAGTAATATGGGAAAGGAAAACATATGCTTTTTGACTATTTGGATAACTTTGGGAAACATCTTTGCGACTTTTTCTTCAGATCCAGAGCCCTCCACGCCAAGTGCATTCGGTAAGAGCAACTTTTTTTCATCCTAATTGGTGGTTTTTAGTTTATTTAGGAGGGGATGCTCCCGGGACCGAGCAGGAAACGAGGAGCGCGCGCTGCCCCGTTTCGACCGGGAGTAACCCCACAGAGGCTTTCAGAGTTCAGACCCCCACAGGTCCGCATCCCGGTCCAGACCCAACCAGACTCTGTGCACGGGGGAAAAAACCCCAGACTAAGTCTTTTGTCTGGAGAAAGACGAGAAAACACGATAAGAACATCCCAGGAAATAATAATATATATTTTTTTCTTTCTAAAAGCAGATTTTACTAATTTTTTAAAACATTTTTCAACTGCATACATTTTTTAAAAAGTCACCCGCATCCATTTTGGCTTTTCAGAATAATCTTTTATCCTGGAAAAGCATTTAAGTGCATTTATTGTTTCATCCGCGTCTGTTTGCGCTCGTAAAAGTAACGGATTTGTTTTTTATGGACGGGAACTTTACTTACTTCTCACTCGTGTTCACGGTTTTATTGCTTGACCAATTCAGCCTTTTAAATGTTTTTTTTTTTCCCCCAACATGTGCCCACTTGTTAGAAAAAACGATTTCATAGGAGACAAAAGGGGGCGACAGTGTCATAGTCTATGGGGTTTCTTTTGTGTCCAAAACGCTGGAGGTGGAATTTAGAATAAAAACAATAAACTGATCTGTGAATGCTGCAAGGCTCTGAGTGAAACTGGTGATAATGTTTTTCTTGTTAGAATCCCACCTGACAACAATCCTCTGCATTCCTGTCATGCCACAACAACTTAATGATCTGCTCTGTGTGTGCCTCTGTGTGTGTGTGTGTGTGTGTGTGTGTGGGTCTGTGTTGAAACAGTAAACACCACAGCCACCACCGCGCTTCTGCCCACCTCCACTGAATGGATCACTGACTTCTCTGACATCGTGTCCAAGTTCTCCCTGCGCACCGTGGACATCCCGGACGATGACATGTGCTACCTGGTGGCCGGCGGGCCAGAAACCATCAAGGAGTGCGAGTTCAAACCCGAATCCCAGACCTTTATCGTGATCCACGGATGGACGGTACGTCCTTTAATCTGCTCTTAAAGACAGAGAGTCACAGATCACGTAACAAGCTCTCATAAATGTCCAGACAAGATTTTGAAACTTCATGACTCCACAACAAAAACAGTCTGGCTCATAAAGTGGGGCTGAGAGTGCAAGCCGTGCATCTTTCCCCCCTATAATGTGATTTAAAGCCAGTCATGCAGCAAAATCTGAACCCGATGATGCCTTGGCCTCTCTCCAGTAGCATGATTCAGAGCGAGGGGCCGAGGTCAGAGTAAATCACACCACTCTGCGGATGACCTGTGTTTGGTCCTGAGAGCAAACTCTGCCCGAACGTTTGACGTTATCTGGCTCCGGGAAGTGTAACTACAGTGAGAGTTAGTCCAATCTATTTGAGACAAAACAATTTGTCTCCACATTCAATGTCAGATCTCTTAATATTTAGCAATTGTGCCATGGCCAGACACACAATGAGCGATACGTATGTCAAATGTCTCATTCCTCCTGTGGTTCAAAACTGTTTAAAATGTTTTATAATTAGCAAATATACTAATTTGGTTCCTTATATCACCAAATCTGAGACATCCGAGAGCTTGTTTTTGCCAAACTGGGTTGATATAAAACGCTTTTTTCGTGAGATGTGGGCCACTTTTCACATTTTCTTCATGTCCACCTCTGTGCAATCTTCTAGGTGACCGGGATGTTCGAGAGCTGGGTGCCCAAGCTGGTGTCCGCCCTGTACGAGCGCGTGCCCAGCGCCAACGTGATCGTGGTGGACTGGCTGACCCGCGCCAACCAGCACTACCCCACGTCTGCCGCCTACACCAAGCTGGTGGGCCGGGACGTGGCCAAGTTCGTCACCTGGTTACAGGTGAGGCTGGATCCCACTCCGAACTCTCTCTTTGCACCCCCACGGATGTAAATATAGAGGCAAATACACCAAAGTAATGTCCGACATTCGTTAAACATGACGTGTTCAAATGCACTTGGGTTGGCACAGGTGCTTTGGATCTTTTTCCCAAACGGTTTTGATTTTGAACCGCTATAAAGGTGCTTTATAGCTCCGTCTGTGGCCTACCGTAGCCTCTAATTGCACGGTTCAAGTGTTTACTGGAGCCCAACTTTTGTCTGGAACACTCCAAGAGCAAAAGGGTCTTTGCCAGGAATGACTAATGCTGTCATGCATTTGCCCCTTTATTTCTCTTAACTTCGCCGGTTTTTAAGAGGAAAAGCAGATTTGGCTAAGCAAGACCGTACACAGAATAATCCTGTTTGGGATAATGTTCCAAACTATTTGGTATGGAGTGCCGGAGAGTGAGCCAAGTGAGGCCTGTTAGTCTGCAGGATTGTCTTTGAAATGTATTTAGATGATGAAATGCACGCCTAACATGTCTCATCTGTCCAATTTCCTACAGAAAGAGCTGCAGTTGCCGTGGGACCGGATTCATCTGCTGGGTTACAGTCTCGGGGCGCATGTAGCTGGAGTTGCAGGAGACCTCACCGACCACAAAATCAGCCGGATTACAGGTAAAAAAAAACATTTGTTTTCATCTGCAGCTTTTGCACACACACACACACACACACACGGTCGGTCTGGGCCGGTTCCAGTCCTCTCTGCAGCGAGCGTTATCCGGCTTTGCCGTTCCCCTGACCTGCTTTGGAAGAATGGTGTGTTTACTTTAATCTGAGAGCAGCAGCTCATTAAGAGCCCACAGCCACGGCCCGGCATTGTTTTGTGTTTTATTTTAGCTTCAGCGGTTCTTTATAGCCTCACGGAAGGCGGAAAGGATCCAAGCCAACACACACTTTTAGAAACACTTAGAATTAATGTGTTAATTAGTCTATAGAAATGCTCCCTTTTGCATCTTTAGCCATGGTTTTTCACTTCAGTCTGGCCGTAATGAGTCAATAATAAATAACGTTTGTTTTTTATGACCAGGTCTGGATCCTGCTGGTCCCACTTTTGAGAACGCAGACGATCAGAGCACTCTGTCCCGGGGCGATGCCCAGTTTGTGGATGTCCTGCATACCAACACGAGGGGCTCCCCAGACCGCAGCATCGGAATCCAGAGACCTGTGGGCCACATCGACATCTACCCCAACGGAGGCACCTTCCAGCCGGGTTGCGACATCCAGAACACCTTAATGGGGATCGCACTGGAAGGAATCAAGGGCCTCCAAAGTATGCATGTTTTTATTTGAGTTCAGAGTTTTAGCTAAAATGCTGATTTCTTCAGTGCTTTGGTTTGCTAACAATGTAGATACTATGAAAGCTTATACATCATTGTGCAAGAATGCTGGGGTCAAGGACAAGTTTTGGGTTTCGTGGACGTGAGGAGAGACGCAGGAATGTATTTAGGTTGTAAATACTTCAACCAGATTGTGTAGATTTCCACTTTTATTGTGTGCTGGACTTTATAACGACACAGCTCACACGATCCCCTGACTGTAAAAGCTATATGGATAACAGATCTACAGACTCATAGCATAACACAGGTGTTAAAGTATGGGTTTAATAGCCTTTAGTTATTTCGTATTAGCGAAGCAAAGTGTTCCAGGTGGGCATTGGTCCCTACATAAAAAAGCACAGACATCAGGAAAGCATTTTCCAACCCGACGTGACGTAATCTGACGTGAAGGTGCCAGAGGCTAACTCTCTCTTCTCTCCACTGCATCGCAGACATGGACCAGCTGGTCAAATGCTCGCACGAGCGCTCCATCCACTTGTTCATCGACTCTCTGGTCAACACCCAGTACCAGAGCATGGCCTACCGCTGCAACTCCAAGGAGGCCTTCAACAAGGGGATGTGCCTCAGCTGCCGGAAGAACCGCTGCAACAAGCTGGGCTACAACGTCAACAAGGTGCGCACGGCCCGCAGCGCCAAGATGTACCTCAAAACCCGCGACATGATGCCCTACAAAGGTAAGCACCAGGAGAACCAGCCAACTCTGAAGGGAATATGATGGAAACGGGTCCATTATGGCGTCGCCTGGGTTTGAAATTTTAAAAAAGAGTGGAAAAGTCTAAGTGGATTTATGGGCTTTAATGGGTCTTACTGAGAGTTAAGTATATTAATCCCTCCCAGCAGTAAGTGAAAACCCCCGGCGTGAATATAGGTGCTTTATGCTGTTAGTAATATGACCACAAACGACAATCTGCACAGCTTTTAATGCCTGCACACATGGCTAAGGAGTGGTGAGTCTTCAGTAGGTCAGAAGAAGAGGTTCGGGGTATTTTGGTGGCAGGGGAGCGTGCTAAAGTAATGTGACACCTCCTCATGTAATACATCAGGTGGCAATGGGAACGTTTTTTTTTAAGAATTTACAAATGAGCTTTAGGCTATTGTGTTTTTATTAGACCTTCACATCCCTGAGAAGGCACAGCTTATACTGATATACAGAAGAAATTAGGCTGATAAGCTTTAGGTAGCTCTATGAATGTTGTTGGGAGGAGTGAATATTGACTTTTTTCGTCCTGTCCTGCAGTTTTCCACTACCAGGTGAAGGCCCACTTCTTCAGCAAGGACGAGCTCAGCTTCACAGAGCAGCCCATGAAGGTCTCCCTCTACGGAACCCACGCGGAGAAGGAGGACATTCCATTTGTCCTGTAAGTGCAAAGCAAACTTTAAAACGGCGCTCGCACAAAATAGGCATTCTGAGGCATTAAGGCCAGCAAAAAGGAAAGGGGCTGACAAAAAATAATCAATCTGTTTGATTCTTTCAGACCGGTCCTGAACGGGAACTCCACCCTGTCCTTCCTCATCACCACCGACGTGGACATCGGCGACCTGATGATCGTGAGGCTGCGCTGGGAGAAGGACGCGCTCCTCAGCTGGTCCGACTGGTGGGGCAGCAGCAGCTTCCACGTCCGGAAGCTTCGGATCAAGTCCGGGGAGACTCAGTCCAAGTGAGTTCTCCGTCCCCAGTCCAGATTTTTTTTTCCTTTTTGTGATTCCGCGAAGGACGCGATAAAACGAGATTTGTGCTCTGGTGCTTGTAGGTTGATCTTCAAGGCTAAGGAGGGAGAGTTCGCTTACCTCGTTAGGGGAGGGGAAGACGCCGTCTTTGTCAAGTCGAAAGAGGACAACATAAGTCGAAAAGAAAGAAGGTAAGCCAGTTCACATCCATACATTTAAAAATGTCATTCGAAATACATATACACTTCAACCTGTTTATGGATTTATGTGAAATGAAGATCTAAATGGACCATCCTGTGTTTATTAATAGCATTATCTGTCATGTTCTTTGTTTAGGATGCACAGGCTCAAAACGCAGGGCAGTCTTTTTAGCCAGAACGACGCTTGAAGTCGCACTTGCTGTCACCCACAGCAACGCCAGGGAAACCTCCGCCAATTGCTGGACCCCCGACGAATCCTGATTTTTGATTTATTTTTTTATATTCTATCTGCAAATTTTGTTTTTTTTTTCCTGACCTCCTCGCAACCAACATAACCTCATCTATAGTGCTATAAATCAGTCCAGACTTCTCACGTCGCCGCAAATTCTGCTGCTAAAAGTGTAACTGGTCTCAGTTTGATGATGTGCTCACCCTTCTTACTTTTGACAAACCCACCCTTTCACTACCCTCCGTCGCCTTGTAATCGCTGTTTATGCTTTTGTATTCCATATGTACTGTCTGTACTGATATATTTTGAGCCTCTAAGTGATGTGTTCCCTGTGCCTATGTGAACTTGACCATGTATACGTGACTCATAGTGACCGGCGCAGTTAGGGCCCATCTTTGTGTGTTTGGTTTTTGAAATGATCATTTTGTGTCCGATGTTTGTCTTTATTTAACCACTAATTGCCAACAATCGACAGGGACCAAAGAAACATTTACAATCTACTGAACAGAGAATCCCAGCATTCTTTGTAAATACCTTAATCTGTATCCGTATTGTTGTTATTTTTCCGAATATAAGTTAAGTGTTGATACCTTGCTCGTTCTTTGACTGCATTGGGTTTTTTTGTGCCACTGGTCACTTTAAAAGAGTCTCTGTCCCTTTATATACCATTTTCACGGTCAACGTTTTGGAGAATGCACTCCAACAGGGATCTGCATTCTTTAGTATTGATTTTTGATTGATTTTTGTGATGACATTTAAGGACAGTCACTCTTTTAATGAGACACCAATGACTAAATCCTCCCTAAGTGTTTCATGAATTGTAAACAATGTCTCACCCGAGGCGATTTACCTCATGGACTTAGCTCAGCCTACAACGTGTCCTTATTTTGAAACATTAAACAAAGAAAAAAAAAAAGCACACAAGCCTGTGAGATTTGTAACTGACTGGCTAAAACGATATCCGTAGTGCATCTCAAGAGCCATATTTATTTCTTGTACATTTATATATTTGTATATCAAGCTGTGATATATTTTGGCAGGCTTCCGTTGTTAACTGAAACGTTTTCTGGTTTTCAGTGACAAAGCTTCGGAAGCTTCAGTCAGACTGAACTCCTTGCCTGCTGTCAGGTGCACTGACTTTTATGAAGTGAAATGCAGTGCAATATTGAGAGAAATAGCCCTGCAAGGGTTCAATAAAGAGTTATACCCCAAGTCAAGATATTCCTTACTGTTCCAGTTACTTTCAGATAATAAGTGTTTTGCGGTTGCAGCCCCTCTGAGATCTAACTTCTCAGAACACTTTTATATCAAACTTTGACGTTAAAAATTCATTTTTTCATCTTTACTACATATCCACAACAGAATGCAGGATTTGTCATTAACCTGTTGCTGGTTATTTCACATCAATACTATTATTTCAACATTTTTCTCTTTGTAGTGATTAAGGCCCAAATGGGAAATAAAAAAAGAATTAAAAACTTCTAAGACTTTTAGTTGTAAATATGTTTTATACAAACTCTGTTTGAATACAGATCAAACTAGAAAAAAGAAAAAGGGGAGAATTTCCAATCATTTAAAAAAGTTTTTCTATTGGTTTGACTCTCATGACCTATGATTGGTTATCTGATCCCAAATTATCGTTAAGGATTTGTGGATTATCAGAACAAAGAGAGCAAATGCTATTTAAGATACTTCTGCCAAACAGTATTTTGAATAGAGATTTTGAATTGTGCAGATTTTAATACGGAATGCTTTTAGGGTCACCTGTTCCTCCGTGCGGCCATTTTGTGGCCCTGATGGGTCAGCAGTTCGATATTCGTCAATACACCTCGTTGGCCAAATGGCACATTCAAATTCGATGGAATTTACTGAACACGAGCGAGAACAAACTGTAAAATCCCAGCCGCTTCATGAAATTTGTTTATGAAGTTGTAAATAAGCGTGGAGTTACGCTTGTGGTTGGTGTGTTTCAGTAAAAAAAAAAATCACAACAAAGCCCATGTTGCTCAGCTTGGCTTCAGCACACAGAGTAACACACACCATGTGGAGCCCGTGCCAACAAAAACAATTTAGGAGCACAAAATAGTACAAAATGTTTCCCACCAGAAAACAGCATGAGTTTTCAAATCAATTTCTACCTCTTTCCTTTCAGGGTTCAACTCATTTCACGCTTATATTCGCTTTCGTGAAGTTCCTATTTAAAGACGTAACAGTATGATTTGAATGGATTATGGCAAAAATATTTTTACATACATTAATCCATGGTGAGGAAATTCTTAGGAACTTATGGTCACATTTCATATTGATGAATGTTTATTGGATTAGTTTTGCTTTCTTAATTTTGACCAAGAGTTAATTTTGCTAGATTATTTTCAACAACAGCATAAATAAATCATAACAGCATAATATATCCCAAAAGTTGATGATTGCTCTGTGCAATGATGACAACCTTTTTTTTAAAGTTTTTTTTAGCTAAATCTGTGGCTCTCATCAAAAACAGATGGGTCTTTGGATGACACTTTAAGTAGGCTGTTATTGATATAGCACTCGGAGCTTCAATGCTTCCTCTTGAGGCTTGTAACAGCGTTGGTAGTTTAGCTGTGTTTCACTTCTACAGTCCTTCTTCTTCAAAACAAATGACATAATGCTGAATCAATTCCTAGCATGACTGAGACAAAACAGCCTGCCGTGTGTCTGCCCTGTCTTCCGTGAGAGCGTGGATCGGCTCCCGTTGAAACCGACTGTGGAAACCCTGGACGAGTTCATTTGGGATCTGGATAAAGTAAATTAACGAGAGAAGATTGATATCTCATCCTGCAGCCCTGTTTGTTTTGGATTCGTTTGATCGTTTGAAACCTCCGTGGACAAACTCAATGCGGCTGATTGCTGGTTTTTAGGGCTGGTCAGAGCCTCTGGTGATGAACTCATACAGACAAAAATGCTAATTTGGCTTGACTTTACGTTGCTCAATTTTACCACCTGGATACTGAGATCGAATGTTTGATTACCTCTATCCAAAGAATCTGTAAAAAATGGGAAGGTCTGAAAAGTTTCTCACTAACATACAGGTCAGAGAAACATATGTGCATATATACAGTAGATATGTATACATATGTCATTTTACATAATGTCATATATATAAAATGACATTTTCATTAGGGTTGTAGTGGAAACCTTTCCATTAAAACTTGTTGGAGGGCTCGTTGGTGAGCATTATTTCAAGAAAGAAAGATTTGACCTTAGAAACAACTACAGAAACAACCCATGGCAGTTTGTTGACTTTTTTCTCCTGTCATTCCAAGAAATATGCCTGACAGAAAAGTCTTGGAAATGTAGAAATGGGAAGGAATTTTGTTTTCTACAAACGTGGAGGGAGAATGACTCCTTGTCCACGTTTTCCCTTCTCCTGGAGCCTGTAAATCTCTGCTGTGGGGCTCTGGCACCTGATCCGATCGTCTCCCCAGCACTTCGCCCGGACTAAGTCTTTCCCCTGCAACCACCGGAGCGACCGGATCTGACCTGCAGCAGCAGCAGCAGGAGAGGAAAAACAAATGCGGTCACTTCTTTTTCGAGGAAGACGTAGTCATGTTCACGGAACAGTAAGGGCTCGTAAAGCCAGCTGTCCTCAGCAGCATCACAACCTCCTGCAAAAGCACGTGTACGAGATGGAGCAATGCATTCTGCCAAAAGTGTGAGCAAAACACGGCACTTCTTTTTTTCAGGGGAGCACTAAATGCCATTCACTCTTTATGAGCAGCCCCGAAAATGTATTATATAACAACAACAGCAGGGCGGTATTATCCAATGACTGCTATGCATGGATTCTACCATCATGTGGAGAGCTAAGTGAAACAAACAGGTTCACTCCAACCAGTGTTACAGGGCTAAAGGTAAACAAAGAAACAGGACGAAGGCAATAGCACAATCTTAGTAGTTTGTGTCATGAAGCTATGTGACAGTTTAGTATTAGTATAATGGGCTTGTGATACCTAAGTTCTACAGTTTTTGGGTTGAAATCTACTGATTACTCAAATTTGAACGTGTCGTTCACCTTTCCAGGATAAACAAAATAAACCTGTACTGTTTTCTAATGGTGTAAATGAACTGGTATGTCCAAGAAGGACTCTTTATAAAAATCAAGACAGTTAATAGTCTCTTAAATCGTGGTTAGGTACGCTCTGAATGTAAACATCTGAGCATCTCCCAAAAGTCTGTACAAAAACAAGGAAATAGGCGGATATCAATGGTTATTCCAAAAGTCAGCTTTATTTAAGCATGTTTTTTATTTTGTTTCTGTCTTGTGAACTGAGAAATATCCACAAAGTAGAAGTGATCCGATGAGAATAATGAGCCGACCCCTTAAAATGGAAGACAGTCAATGAGAAATGATTATTTTTTAATCAGGAAGTAACTTGTTATTTCAGTCAAAATTTTCCCCATAAAACCTTTTTACTACCCATAAACCAAACACGGCTTGAAATGATCATATAATTGGTAAAAATATTTTATGGTTGCATGATTTCATCCAAAAGGCTTTCATTTAAGTCAGCTATGTATTCAAAAATCCCAATCAGGAAACTTTCTGGAGTGGTCACCCTATCAATCGTCGGTCGTTTGGAGTGTTGAAGTGTTTGAGAACGTTTCAATTCAACTGACCTTCGCGACAACAATCTTGTAGCTCTTCAACCATCGCCTCATCGGCCTCCCGCCCAGTTTGTCTTGGCAGGGTGTGCTGCTGGAGTTCTGGGCACCAAATGAGCTGCTGCGTTGCCAACTCTCGTCTGATTATGAGCACATAATGTAAGTGCATTTTTACATGCTCTGGCTGGAGGGTAAATGATCCCTGGAATAGGCGAAGGATCCCAACATCTAAAGCAATGCAAACTGACAAATTACTAAGATAGCTGTGTGTTGCTTGCGAGTTTCAAAGTAGGAGAAAAGATTTCCCTACTTAGATACACACACTTACGATTACCAGTTGCTTCTTTATAAAATAAATTCTTTGAAAAAATGCCTTCTCCTGATACAACATAAAAGAGAAAATGAGAAACTTCTCTCACTGGAGATTTGCTTTAGGCATTATGGATGGTTTGCCTCATAATCTTGCAGAGTTTTAGCATGCCAAACCCCGTGGAAAAACAATACAGAAATGCTTAATAGGCCGCAGTTTGAAACTACAGACTGGACATAAAGCTGTAAAATTCTTGAATTATATTTTTTTTCAGCTGAAATATACATAGACTCTTATGGCTCAAAACACCTTGCACTTCATTTTTCATATTTCAACTGTTTTTAACTGCAACTTTCACAAAAATAAAATCACTCTGAACAACTCTGTGCAAACTCTGAACAACTATGAATGTGTACATCACTATGAAATAAAATCCAAAGTTTTTTCAGGCCTTTAAAACCTGTTTCAAAACACTTTTCCCTCTGTGCTAAATAGAAATATACAGTCTGACAACCGCAAAAAAGCCAAAAACAAAGCACAATGGACTGAATGGGGCTTTATAGTAGAGTCAAAGGCTCTAAAAATCCCCCTGAACACCTTTTCAAAAGGATACGACTCTGAATCTAATTCTGGGTTGTGAGACAAAAAAGCATCACGGCCATAAGAAACAGATGTTTTAGGGACACAGAAATGCCACAAACCGCACATATATACATGATTCATGGTTCGTGTGGATGTTTTGATCTTCTGAAAACACTGAGGCCAGTTTGGATCTCTGTGTTTGATTTCATGTCTCTCTTTTGGCAAGTGGGATCTAAATAAAATAAATCTATGTTCCTGCAAAGCAGCTGTGAGAATGCTGATCTGCTGAATGGATGCACGAGAAGATGCCAAGAAAGGGAACAAATATTTGTTTGAAAAATGGCAATAATTACCTGAACTAAACATTAATATGCAATAGGAAGTGATCTGAAAGTTAGATAATAATACCTGAAGGGTTTGAAGCTATCAGAAATAAGACAGAAAGAACCACAAAAGGATTTGAAGCCAAACAAAATACGTAAAAGGCCCCAAAATTCTAATGTAAAAGGTCAAATTATCACGTACAGCTAAAGGAATTTTTAAGCGTATCAAGAAAAAAAGAAACAATTCTAACGAAACAAATTAAATGAATCAGTACAAACACAGCTGATCATCCAAGTGAAGCCAATTTACAAAAGTGCAACTACAAAGTCTGAACACTTTCTGAAGAACAAGGCTTTGATGATCTCAACAGTGTTTCATTTGTCTTTCTGAAAAAATTTTTTTGAGGAAATCTAAAAGATCAGACATTTAAAGTAGTTGAATATGCACGAGTACACTTTTTTTCCCTTAAAACAAGACTTTAGCTGCATACTTTTTGAAGTAGAAGCATATTTCACTTTGAATCTGCTCTGTAATTGCAAATTCATGTGGACCAAAAGGTCCCCGATGGGTTCCCAATGTCTTTTTAATGTCCTGGAAACACCAGGTGATGCACATTATATCATTTTATCTGCTGGATGACTGGCCTCCAGCCTGCCCCCCCAACAGTGACTGCGTGTGCTGTTTTGAACTGGAACTTTGGCTTGCTTTAAAATGACAACCTAAACATGGCGTACCGCAGTTGAAACAGTAACATTAGTTATTTTAGCTCATCCTCTTCTGTGGTGCTTTCACTCCTGATAACCTTTAAAGGAAAAAGACACAAAACACAAATAATATTCTTTGGCATTGCAAGGAGTGTGTTGAACTCCTTGCAATGCAGAATTCCCCCCCTGAAAAGCCCTTTACGCATATTCTGAAGTGGCTAAATGTAGATGTGCAGATCGATGTGTCAGCGTTTTCTGCAGGGTTTGTGGTTTTGCACTGACTCCATTCAAGTTTTCACTTGTGCAGTTTGACTTGATGGAGTCAAAGACTCAGCCCTGGAAGACTTACACCAAGGAGCCATGATTAAGTCCTCATCTTTGCTTTAAAAAAGGGACAAGAGTGCGCTCGGCTTTACTTTAATGAGGCGCTATCCTGCCAGCCTGAGCTGTTAACTCTGCCCGGGAATCGGCCTAATGATTTACTTCACACACACATTTCCATTCCCCGCCCGGATGCCGGCAGCCAATGGCTCTGCAGAAGCGCGCCAGAGCTATTTAAGACGCAGTCAGTGGAAGGTGGATCAGATATCAGTGCCGTGCGCGCAGCTCTCTGGATTAGGACGCAACAGCTGTGTGACTTTGATTGTCTTTTTCCTTTCATATCAAAAACGAGCTTTTAAAGCAATGAGAGCCTGGCAGGTCTGGTTCGTGCACTTCTTAGTGTTAAATGGAGCTGTGCACTGCGTGACGTCTTTGGAAGAAGAGTTCTCCGATTCTATTTTCGGTGAGTTTCATCCGCGTTTATTCCAACGCGCACCTTCACGTGAATTAAATGTGTGTTGGGAGTCCGCTATCACTTTGGTGTGACAGGATATTGTCTTGGGTAAATTAGGACACTTAAAATGTGATTCACTCTGTGAAAGACACCTGAATGTCATCAGCCGGAACCGAACTTTTTCCGTCTATAAATATTTGTCGAAACGTTGACAGTGGGGCCTGTGCAAACCTCCTAAATGGCAACGTGGACTTGACCTTCTCCCTCCATCTCTGACCACCAGCAGCCAGCCCCCTGTTGAGTGGGGTCAGCTTCCTGTTACAGGACCACTGCACTTGGGCAGAATAGGATCAATGACAGGATAGGAACAAAGCTTGGAAAAACCCTCAGGGGGGGCTCAGGGTTGCTCCTTTTTACCCCCTCTGATCTAATCTAAGTTAGACCTCATTTACCGAGCCCCCCCCCCCCCACCTCCATGAGCCAGCTTTTATTTTAGACAGTCCCAGAGGATAAGATAAGATTAACAGTGTGATGTACACAAGAAAAAGGTCCTAAAACACACAGAGGATGATTTTATACATTCTTTTTTCTTTCCAGGAAACTTCCTGGAACCTCTCAGAGACTTGCTGGACCACAAGGACGACGGCAACGCGACGGTTGCCAAATTCTCCCTCCGCAAGCCGTCCCACCCCGACGATGACCTGTGCTACATCACTCCCGGTGACCCCGGCTCCCTGGCGGCCTGCACCTTCAACAGCACCTCCAAAACCTTCCTGGTCATCCACGGGTGGACGGTGAGCGGACCCGACTTACAGCCGGGCTTTGCTTCTTCGTTATCGAAGATCTGAGATGGAAGTTTAACGTTTTTTGGGGTTTTTTTCTGTCATCCCGACAGCTGAGCGGTATGTTCGAAAGCTGGATGCCCACGCTGGTGTCGGCGCTGTACGAGAGAGAGCGCACGGCCAACGTCATCGTGGTGGACTGGCTCAGCTCGGCCCAGAACCACTACGTGGTGGCGGCCCAGAACACCAAAGCAGTGGGACAGGAGATCGCTCACTTCATCGACTGGATCGAGGTGAGTGGGATCCCGTTCAGTTCCAGAAGAATGAACGTTTCAGCATCCTTTTGAGCTAAGCTAATACTTTTCATTTAAACCTTGGATGTGTTCACCTCATTAACTGTTTGGTAAGGCCACGTTTTGTGGTCTGGTTCTTATTTAAGGACTCATCTGAGCTAGCCGGAGAACATAACGGTAATCATAACTTTCTGAATCCTGTATTCCAAAGGAAACCACCAACATGCCTCTAGACAACATCCATCTTATAGGCTACAGCCTCGGGGCTCATGTGGCCGGATTTGCCGGCAGCCACGCGTCGAATAAAATTGGAAGAATAACTGGTAAAAACAGCAGTTTAGCGTAAAATAAAAAATGTCTGAGATAAAACTGATCACATATGGTAACACTGCTGATTCTCATTTCCCTGCTCGAAAGGCCTGGATCCAGCAGGTCCTGACTTTGAGGGTGAGCATGCACACAGGCGCCTCTCTCCAGATGATGCTCACTTTGTTGATGTCCTCCACACCTTCACACGTGGCTCTCTTGGTCTCAGCATTGGCATCCAGCAGCCTGTCGGCCACGTGGACATTTACCCCAACGGAGGCAGCTTCCAGCCAGGTTGCAACCTCAGGGGGGCCCTGGAGAGGATCGCCAATTTTGGGATATTTGGTAATGAAAAAAACAAAAAGAAAAAGTATTTTTTCTGTTGGCTGCAATGTGGAATGTCACAGGCCTTTTAAGATAGCAATAATAACCACATAAAAAAGAAAAATTGTAATGTTTTTTACCCGTGGAGCTGGTTTTTCAGACAATACAGGGTTAATTACAGGAAAGTTTCAATGGACATTTCTTTTATTCATCACTCAGAGTCCCGGAGTATCGATTACAAAGTAACCACTCTTTGAAATGTCACTGTGGTGTACATTGTAGCCGTCAGTTGCATTGTTACGTCATTCACACCTTCTGGAAATAGATACAAGTTACTGAACACGGCTTAGGAAAGGTCAGGACAATTTCTGTCCCGTGGGTTGACGTGTACGGATAGATGCTCTGGAGAGAGGAGGCTGACCTATCTGTGTCTGTTTCTTCTGTTTCCCCCCCCCCCAGCCATCACGGACGCGGTCAAGTGCGAGCACGAGCGCTCCGTCCACCTGTTCATCGACTCGCTGCTGAACGAGCGGCAGGCGTCCACGGCCTACCGCTGCGCCAGCAGCGACGCCTTCGACCGCGGCGTGTGCCTGAGCTGCCGCCGGGGGGGCTGCAACGCCGTGGGCTACGGCGTTAGCCGGGTGCGGCGGGCCCGCGGCGTGCAGATGTACACCAAAACCAGGGCCAGCATGCCCTTCAGGGGTGAGCGCAACACGAATTCAATTCAATTCAATTCAGACCCTACTCTGAAGTTAATGACAGAAACCCAACAATTCCCACTATGAGCAAGCACTAGGCGACCCAGGGAACGAAAAACTTCCTTTTAACAGGCAGAAACCTCGAGCAGAACCATGGCTCAGGGTGGGGGGGCATCTGCCTCGGCCAGTTGGGGGTGAGGGAAAGAGAGGGCAAGAGAGAGGCAGCCAACACAGCAACACATAGACTGGATGAAAAATGGCAATGATATTAATACTAATGATAATGGTAGAAGTTATGACAGGAAGATTGCTATTAAAACAACATGGAAAACCACGAAAAACATTGAGGCTTAGTTTACTTTTAGGCTTGTTGCCGTAGTCCAGGCGTTGTTTTTTCCGCTCCCTAAACGATGCACGATGTGACTGTCTTTTCCAGTTTACCACTATCAGCTGAAGATCCATTTTTCCAGTAAGATCAATGTTTCGGAGATGGAGCCGTCGCTCACCGTCTCGCTGTTTGGAACCAAAGGAGAGGCGGACAACCTGGAGCTCAAACTGTAAGTGAACAGAACTGTGAACAGAATTCCTTGTTCACTGAGATTTACTACACGAAGACTTTCATCTGGCCAATCATGTGAGCGGTTTTGTGACCACAGCACAGAATCTGGAGGCAAAAACAATAAAACTAGGATATGACCGGAGACACATTAAAAACCTGGTCAGATGCTGTGTGTAGACCAGGTTTTATGGCTCATACTTTAATTCAATTCAATTCAATTTTATGTATAGAAACCCAACCATTCCCACCATGAGCAAGCACTAGGCGACACAGGCAAGGAAAAACTTTAGAGGCTTAAGCATAAATACTCAATGGCTATATGGTAAAACGTTCCTGTATTTTCCTCCTTGCAGAAAAGAGAGACTTGTGACAAACAAGACCCATTCATTCCTGCTGGTGACCGAAAAGGACATCGGTGACCTGCTGATGTTGAAGTTCAAATGGGAGGAGACAAACAGCTGGTCGGCCTCCAGTCTGCTGAAGATGGTCTCCTCCTGGTGGTCCGGAGACTCAGACGCCGCCAACATGGAGGTTCACAAAATCCGCATCAGAGCTGGCGAGACGCAACAGAAGTAAGTTGAAAATGAAAACGGGGATGTGGAAATAACCTAAAAAAATGGAGGAAGTCTTAGGGGCGGCTTCTGACTCAGCTTGACTAGTCGAAAATTAGCCCTTAGCTTGGATAGATACCTTTACAGAAACACCTCCACTTTGCTAGTTTTGAACAAATAGTTCCTCATATCTGGGGATGCTATTGTTTCACCATCAAAAATAACTAAAGCTTTGTGGGATCACTGGTTTAAAAAGGAGATCTGAAATAGTCCCTTCTGTGGATTAGCATACCCTTGCAGACTCTCTGCAGCTAATACTTGAAATGGTTATTTAAAATCAACTGTGTCTCTTCAACAGGATGGTGTTTTGTGTAAAACACCCAGATTCAAACGACTTAACTCAGGAGGTCACGTTTGTGAAATGTAAGGATGCGTGGCGGATGAACCCAAAGCGAAAAAGGTGAGTTAGTCTTTCCGTTTGCTCCGTTTTGACCCGTGTCACCCTTTTTAAACCGACGAATAACCAATGAATTTGGGTTTTCTCCGCAGAGTTACTCTGAAGCAACGCTGACCATAAAGACGAGACACTGTTAAACACCTTTTTCTGACCAATTCAGCACTTATCAGATAATTTATACACCCGTTATGCAACTGTACATTCTCCAATTCTAGAAAATCTTTACCACCTTGTATATATCCGCAGATATTATTTAAAACAATTTATATATGAGTGTTGTACAATATTTTGTAAATAGCTGTTTTTGTGACACCTAACTGTACATTTATGTTGTTCTAAAAGTAAATGCAATTTACTATGGTGCTGCATTTGTGATCTTAATAAAATCTAAGTCAGGTCAGGCCGCATTCACAGTGGTGTTTTTAGTCAGAATGCTCTTTTATAGCAAAACAATATCAATCTTTGCAAGTTTTGGAGCTTAGTTTTTTTCATATATAACATATCTAAATTCTAACTACATCCACATAAGTTTAAGCAATAGGGTACAATCACTTTACCTGATGTTAAACAATATATATCTACATGGAAAGCATTCACCACTGAAGCTCCCAGCATTGTGTACGACTGTAAATGGACCTTTTCTTAAATTTACACTTTTCTAGCTGATTTTCACCTCAGTGTGACTGCTGTTTGACGTTTTCTGATGCGCTCAAAGCAGCAAAAGCTGTCGTCTAGAGTGCTTTTGCCTAGTTTGTACTGTTACTGTACACCTCCAAAGATGTGAGGTGGACTCTCAATGTCTTCTGTCTGAGCATGTGATGCCCAATGTCAGGTTAAAAGCAAGGGAAAGGTCAATTTTTTGCTTTTCGTGCTATTTTTTTTTCAAAAGCACCCTTTTTTTTTTAATGAATGCTCATCCATTCAAATTGCATATCCAGTTCTTTGTGCACAGTGTAATCCTCAGCGGTATAGAGATCGGTACTGTAATCATTGTGACGTTTAGAAAGCTTCAAGGCTTTACTTTTGCACTGAGAACCAAGGGATATTTAGCTAAACCAGGGTAATTGTAGATCACATTTATGTTAATGTCATGAAGCATATTTTCCTTTGAGGTGCACTGTTAGAGTTATTTATTTTTACTTCTGTATGATTCTAATCTTTCAAACGTTCATTTCTGTCATTCTTTGTACATATGTGTAAATACAAACTGTCCCTGTGTTGAAAATTCTTTAATAAAACCAAACTTTGCCACCTGAGAGGCCAACCTGAGCAATTTGTTGAAGAATTATAAATTATAAACGCCCACCATGGTCATTATATACATAACCATCCATCCATTATCCCTTGCACTTAATCCTAGTCGGGGGCAGTGATCCATAAACTCAACACATTTCTGTATATTGATATGAATGCAAACCGTTTTTGATTTAAAAAGCAACTATTTAAATTCTCACTCGGTTGTTTCTGATAAAAGGGTGCAAGACATTCTTTGAGCATCCCAAAACAAGATGTCCTTGCAGTTGTGACGCCAGTATGTTTGGCTTGCAGAGCCACTGTGACCTGAAGAGAGATTAAATCAGTGCAGTTGTGTTAACCTATTTGCACATCTTCGTCACACTCTTTTCTGAAAAGAGCGTGAGTTACGAAAGGCTGTATACAAATAGTTTAAAAACTTTTATGATCTCCCATTGTTATGCTGGTTATTAACCTAAAGAAGTGGTTCATGCATAAGAAATTCATCAGAAAACTGCAGAAATATGCTAATTAAAATGAAAACACTCCAAAAGTAAAGATTTATCCAAGTTCTATTGAAATATAATACAGTGGGTTAGGATCAGCAGGTTTGAAAGCAGGCTCACATTTTATAGGCAACAGGATATTGAGACAAATGGACACAGTTCTGAATAAAGGTAACTTGGTGGACATGGTTTGAACCTATCTGGTGGCAGGTAAGGCCCATTACCTTCTCATGTTTGGCCGAGTTGTAGACAAAACAAGTTACTCTAAAGATGGGAGTGGTGTTCTTCAAAATCTCAAAATCTGAAATTCTCAGCTAACCTTGATCATGACGTAAAATCCCCAAACCAAACTGCAACATCCTCTGACAAAGTTGCAAGGCCGAGGGTTGTTGGGATGTTTCCCAACCACAAGACTGAGGCAGACAAGATCTTTGCAAATCCCGAAAGGTATTTCAGAGGAATGTGGTTAGGACTTAGGAACACAAAGGCCAGGGAGTGAAGTTTAAGGAGCATCAAAACCAAGGGTTTGCATGACAAGTGGCAGTCCTTGATCGTCTCAACAAGAAATTAATCCACTCCATGTCTATAAGCTAAAGCTTTTTATAAAAAAGATAAAGGGTCGAATCACCTGAAAGGCTTAGTTGTCCGTTGTCAGTGGAGAATAAAAATTCAGAGGAACAGCATCTGTTGTTGTGACACTTCTTACCTAACCTTTTCCATGCCTTGTTTTTAAAAAATCTTAAGACCTAAGAACTGGTAGGCCAAGAAAATTCCAATGAGTGGACATAGGGTTCTGGCAGCCTATTAGCTGAAGTAGACATGCAGCAATTTCCTCAATGTTTGGCAACATTCTGAAACCATGCCATGGATTCAAATGCAAGAGTACAGAGGATGACAATTAAATAAACCTTAATGATTATGTTCAGCAAAAAATGTGCTGCATTATGGAGAATCCAAAACAGAAATAAAAGACAAAACGAGGACCAAAGTGAGGGAGAAAACAAAACTCACAGCTATGAATTCAAATAACGAGAAACAACAATATGGGATTTATTGCACTTACAGAGTAAGGAAACAAAAGAAAAGATAACATGTGTGAAGTGAAACTGAGAATCAGATGCATGAAGAAAATGTCAATAAACTGATAAAAATGTGCAACAAACATATGCAAATATATTATTTTCTATTGAGACAGTCTTCAGAGGACAAATCTTCTTTTTGTTTCTGTGTATGCAGGAAAAAGTGGCTCCATGTTGCAGACAGTGGAGGTCCACAGTATCTCAGAGGAGGCAGACTGACCTATCCCACAGTTGGCATGGACTTTTTCCACAGCACATGTCTCACAGGACTCCGGCTGCCGGCTGTACGGAGAAGTGTCCCGGGGGCTGAGGAGCGCTGCTCCGTAACGGGGTACAAAAATATCAGGTGACAAACTGGCATGAGATGTGTTGAGCAGGTGGTCCCAGAAGGTCTTCTGCGGATCAAAAACCGGAATCTTTGCCCAAAAAGCATCTCACCGATGTAGCTTTGGAAGTTTTAAATCACAAAAAAATGGGGTTTAAATCAGTTTGTGTGTCTTTTTGACGTACTCTCAGAGACGGCGAGGGGTCGGAGGTCAAGGGTCAGTCCAACTCCCGAGTGTTCAGGGTACGACTACAGAGACAGATGGTGCAGCCCATCACTCCGGACAAGGCCAGTATAACCAGCAGGATGACCCACCAATGAGCCTGCAAGCATAAATTAGTTAAATGAATTAGAAACAAGCTATTATAAAGAAATTACACCCATAATAATAATCATACCATCATCAATAATCATTATTAGAGAACTGGTATGACAGGAAACAAATGATTTAAGATTGTTGTGAGGTATTCAAGCTGCAAATAAGAGAAAATATGTCTTATATTATCATAATTTGCACAGAAGAAGATATACAGCTTGATTATGGTCTCACTGATAAATTAAATAAAGTTCCTGTATAATGTTTTAGATCAACCTTCCTTAATATATGCATTGACTTACGGTGGGTGCTTACTAAATGTGAACTTGTGAGAGGCTCAGCTTGGTTTAACTTTGGACATAAATAGCCTGGTGGGATGTATTTGGTGTCACATTCTTGGGTTGACGCCCACTACCTTGCTCTCGTGTCTCACTGAAAAACTCAGAGGTTTTGTGTGGCGCGTTACATCAAGAAAAGCTCCAAAGTGATCACCTATTTACTCAGCATGACGGCCAAGTTCCACATACTCTTTCACAGAGCCAATCCAAAATGATTATCGATACTTTGGATCTGACACAGACAGAATTATGCTACCATCTTTTAGGTCAAATTCAGACTGTATACTGAAAACATAGAGGCTTTAAAATTGAAGCAATAAATTAAAATAGACCACACAGTCTATGGAATAAATGCCATCTTTAGCATCACATTTTCTTTTTCGAAACTGCAAATATATCTAAGCTGAGAAAAATAAAACAAGGCATTAATAAAAAACAGCAAATAAATGATCATATATAGAAATGGATAATCTAAAACAGACATTTGACAAACACACCATGTGTAGTGGTGTGCAAAATTAAATAGATTAGGTTATCTATATACACCTATGTGTACTGTATATACACAGTAAAAGTAATAGGAGCAAGTGGTATACAGTCTGTTTAGATAGTACAGTCAGTATAAAAGTAATATTTGTCTCAAGCTGGAAAACATGCACTCTGAATGGTTATGAAAACAGTATGTTGGACTACATGTGCACTAAAATATCACTTTTCTGCTCTGAATTAAGTATCTAAGCTGCCTTACACGGACAAAAAAGATGAAAAGAGGAATCCCTGTTAAAGTACCCGTGAACATAAATGGCCATATGTGCCACTTTTGTCTGTCAAAATATGACTGAGCACAAATCTAGCAAAGAAGCGTTCCTTTGCAAATTCGCAGCACTGAAAATGCGTCAGTGACACGGTTTCATTAAAACAATCCAAGGGTTCTCCAGTGAAAATGGATGAAAAACCCCGCTCTCCAGCCCAAATGTGCATTCTTGATTCTCCGCGCTGTCATGAGAAAGTAAACCTCAAAGGCTTCTGCAAGCAAAACACAGAAATTCTGCTGAAGACCTCTGAGCACCAACACAGGAAGTCAAACAAACACACGGAGCAGTGGATGTAGCTTCAGGCAAACATTTGCATAGCAAAAAATGGCTTTGTCCTTATTTTGAAATATTCAATCTAATATTGATCCATTGCACTGATGTAACACTAAAGCAAATACAGAGCTACTGCTGACAGCTGAATGTGTAGGTGATAAAAATGAGGCAATTGTGACAAAAAGACCAAAAAGTATAAGATAATAATCACATAACATCTGCTGAAATGACGCAGAGAGGAGTCATATTTCCACTTTACTAGTAAGCACAAGAATTTGAAATGTTGCCAGGATTAACAAAAACAAGTTCCTAAAAACTTATTTAGGCCACTGTTAATTAAAAAGCTTCAGCTGTAGGGTTTTTTTTTCATGTGTAATCTAATACAACATTTGATCAGATCCCAAATTAAAATGGCAAAGTGCCAATTGACATGTTGCTCAAAGAACCCACAGATGTGGCGGCTCTAATAGGCTTTTGGTCTTTGGTTTCAAAGTCAGGAAACAAAGGATGATTTAAGTTTTATGTCCCTCAAATACATGTTTTTTTCTTTTTCTGTTTATCCTCAGGTACAATTGAATTATGCAACATCAGACATTGAAACATTATGATGCGCATTTGCATAAATAAGCAACAAAGACTTAATTGGATTAAATCATTGGGAAGAAGTACAAACATTTGTAAGACTACTCCAAAACTTTTTCCTTGCCTTTTAGGTTTCTATCTGCTGTTTCAGTGGCCCTTTGCTTTGGTTTTTACACTTTCTAAGTGTTGGGTTAGGCTCAGATGGAAGAACTTCCTGGTCAGACTCTGAAATGACTTGTTTTGGTTTAATCAATATCCATGGAACAGGATTAGAGACATCGTGCAATGCCCATAAAAACCTTCACAGCCCTTGGATTTCCACCCTTTTATTGCTTTTCTAAATTCATGTCATGGCAGTAATAATTAGACATTGTTAACAAGAATTTTCTTGAATTTCAGTTAATTAAAACAACTTATGCAATATTGAATGTTTTTTTTTCCAAATTTCCTTTTAAAATGAAAATGTAAAAATCTGTTTTCACTCTAACATATAAGCTTTCCTTTTTTGTTTGTAAAATCTTGTCAGAAAAGCCATAATAAAAAAGCAATAAAAGGGGGAAATCAATAGGTGTTAAAAATTCACCAATACACTTGGGTTGGCTTTTATGCAATTCAGAGTCATCTGGGAAAGTTTTATAATTTTGTTCCACACTAGTTTGTTCATAGTCTATAGATGGAGTCATTTTATTTATTTAGCTTACGTAAACTAATAAAGGACAACCTTCATCCATTCGGCCATGTCATCAAAATCATCCAAATGGAGAAAAGAGTTCTTGAGCCTGGCGATGGGGCCGTCTGCATCCAGTAGACGACATATGTGGAATTTGTCGCAGTATCCCTGGTTCCCAAAGCACGGAGCCCCGCCCACCAGGGGCAAAGCCTTTTTCTGAAAGTGACGTGACAGCACAGAGGATGTGGTGCTGGCACATGTCTCCGGCCTGCCTGTAACAGATAAAAAAGATTCCTGAGAACACCCGATCATCAAATATAACTCTGATTATCCAAAAGCACTTTGTAGACTGATCATGGCCGGTAAAGCAAATAAGTTGAACATGTTTCTCACAGAAAACAACAAATTAGACGTGCAAACTTCCACAGCAAGTTAACACATCCTCATCTGTGGGGAAACAAAGCGTAAACACATTCCTCGCTCAATAGCGGGGGACACGTGGTCCCGTGTTTACCGGGCTGTTGGCAGCACATGTGGCATTTCTCCTTCATGGAGTCTCCCGGACAGTCACACTGATGCAGGCGGTGCCTCACACACAGGGACTCGGCACAGACCTGCACACAGAGGCCCCAGATTTCATCAGAAGAAAACAACACAGCAAAAACCAGGAGAGAACACCGTAGAACAACAGAAAAGAGAGATATACAAGCCAACCAACCTTCTATATTAAGAGTAATTACAATTGTTTAGCCTTTTCTTCTTTATCCTTAAATTTACATGTTTACACATCCAAAAATAAAAACTTTTTTGCTCTTCGGTTGTTAGTTGTCTGTGTGGTGATTGACAGTTTGTGATGTGGTTTGTCACACACAGTTAATCAAAGGTTTTGTGACACTGAATCTGTTTATTTGGGTTGAAAAGTCTTTTTTGTGGTCATCTTGTTCAACAAAACCAAAAATATGTGGGGGAAAAAAACAATTTAGCTGAGAAAAACCAGCAAACTGCTTTCGTTTCTGGATCCAGCTGCTTTGATTAGAACACCCCTTTGAAAGCCTTTTCCAGGTATTTTACTTAATTTTTCAGAATAAGGTCATCAGAGGATTGCATGGTTAGAACATCTGGACAACAATAGACCCAGAAAATAGGATGAAGTAATATTCGCAGCTGGGATAAATTCTCTTCTCTCCTGCACGGAGCTCCCAAAAGTCACATCATGCCAGTCAACAGGAGTTTTTTTTTGTTTTGGAGTCACAGAGAACTGTCGAGGTAAGATGGTGTTAGCCAAATTTATCCCCAACCACTCTGTGTTGTGAAGATATTTGTTCCCAAACCACTGCCAAATGAATCAAATGACTAACTTGGATGGATCCAGAATCCGTTTTTTTTTTCATTATGAAACAAGAAAGATTGGACTTGCATGTCAGGCCAGAAAATAAATAAATAAATCAGGAATAGTTTCTAATCAGATACTGATGAAAGTTTTTAAGTACCAAGCAGAGGGAGTGTTTGTCAGTTTAAGCCCGTAATGGAATGCTTGCATTTGTAACTTTGGGCTGATAAGGAGTCTGATCTGATGTACCATGCTTGGAAACTATATATGAAACTATAGTGGCACATCTTTAGGAAGGCTTATACATTAGTGTAGCAAGCTTTTTTTATGGATTTTTTATTCTGATATGCTCGACAAGGGTCTGGAAAAATAGATTTAAAATCCTTGTCTGAAGTAGTTTTACAAAGCATAAAGATACTTTCAAGATCTGACAAAGCCAGTGATGGTGAACAGTGTGATTTGTGATGATGTCATCACATATAATAAGTAGGCTAAAACATGGAAAACTGTTGATGTACATATCTAAATTCTTTGGAAAACTTGCTGTCTTTTCATATTTGTTGATATCCCCTTGGTTGTATCTGGAGTTCAGCACAGATGAGACATACACGGGCTGTTACTGTATGTTAAATATCTATGTGTGAGCCTGCCACATTAAGTTGGATGGTGTTTCTGTTTCTGTGGAGGTATCTCTTAGGTTAGGGTCTTTGAAAAATTGGAGGTGCTCAGTTGATATTAACATTGACATTGTTGTGTTTTATCAATATAGGTATCAGCCTCAAGAATTTATGGAAATTGATTTTATACTCTTTGTGTGTCTTTGAGGTGTTCTGAGAGTTTGGATGTAATGTTCCTCTTTAAGGAAATGGGGGGCGGAGCTATCCTGAGGTCACCTGGGAAGTAGGAAGTGGAGAAAAGAGAAATGTTTGAAAAAGGGGGCATTTGGGATGAAAAGAAGGAGGCTGTTTGAATCTAAAACCAACAAATAGTCAGGCCGGATGGTGGTTGAAAAAAGAAAGAAAAATCATCGTTGGAAATAAGAACTTTAAAAGAAGAAAAAAAAGGAAGTCGAGGTTTGGAGGATTTATCTTTTTCCGCTGGATGTGCTGGTGAGATCCATCTAGTTTATTATTTTTTCCTCAATTTGTTTTTGTGCAATGCATTGCTGAAGATTGATTTTGGGACATGTTTGTTTTTGTATATTTTTGGAGTTTTTGGGGGTATTTTGCAAGTGGACCAGTATTGGATTTCCACTATTGAGTGACTTTGGGGGGGAAGAGGTGAATACTGGTGGTGATTTTGGAATAAGACAATTGAGAAACTTTCGGGGGAAGAAGTGAATTGTTTATGAATTGTATGATTATTGATAAAAAAAAATACATGTGATTGTTTTGGGATAAAGCATGTGTGGTGTAATGGTTATATTTCTAAGATGTTGATGGGAAGTTTTCACAGATAAAAGTTAAACATTGTAGGCCGAACCTCTTTTAGTAACATTTTCTTCTGACTAGGATCAGGGGGATTGTTACTGTTTTATATAATTTTATCCGATAATTTCATTACATTTTTTCAGATGCATTACTTCTTAAAACCTGTCCAAAATGCAATGCAATTGTAATATATGGGATACATAGAACAGAATGCAATGGGAGTTGTTTGTAAAGCGTTGCTTTTTGTGCGCCCGATATTTTTTGGCGGCCACCTTTGGGCCCGGCCCTGTTGGGTAATGGAGAAAGCGTGTCGTGGCACGGTCTGGTGCGCCGCTTACCCCGTTCACGCAGACGCGCGTGCCCTGGCTGCAGACGGTGAGGTTTTCCTTGGCGGCGGGCTCGGGGCAGAGCGGGGAGAGGCCCGAACACGCGCCCTCTTTTAGACAGTCCGTCTCCTCGTCGCACATCTGACCCTCCGCTTTAAAGTCGCAGTCCTGACCACAACACAGGCCTTGACTGGGACTAATAGATGGACAAGTGAAAAGACGACACACACACACACCATCAGACCCATAAACAAGACAAAGTCACACTTGGATTGGCTCCATTGGAAGGCTAATAACAGCGTGGCTTCTCTTTTCAATCAAAGATGAGGACAAAGCTGTTGGAGCAGGTCTGAAATGCTGAATATTAGTACAAGAATGTAACACGTATTCATATGAACTTTAGTGGTGTGTTGACTTTTGAATGGGCAGTACCTGCAGACTTTACCGGGCTTTAAGCGGCATTGCACTTCTACACTGTTTGAGGCGCTGTAGCAGCAGAGATCCGTGTCGTTGTGACCGATATCACACTCCTCACCTTCTTCCACGATCTGGTTTCCGCAAATAGGCTGATCACTGGCTGACAAACGCACGGAATGAAACACACAAACACACACACCCCGAAGTGAAGATCACGTCACTCCTTCTGAATCGCACAATTTCTTGACTTAGGCAGGCAAGATGCTGGCAAAGTAAGGGATGTTTGTCTCTCACCCACGAAGCAATCGTCCTTTTTCAGCTTCAGGATCCGGCTGATGTGTCGGATGCTGCAGGGAGAGAATCTATCGTTGTTTTCACGCACCTCATCAGTGGCATGAGGAAACATCAAGTAACGGCCTTTCCCTCCAGCAGAGCCCAGGTTCCCGCAATTAGAACCTTCATCATGCTGAAACGTAGAAAAGTAAAACAGTAATGGGGCTTGTTGTATTCATGGATCTTCACTGGCAACATGTCAAGCAAATACCATTTACTTCCACCTTTATCACAGATCAGGATGTCAACTTTGAGTCTGAAAAGAGAGCAGAGGAGAAGGAGAGAGCCCGTGTAATCTAAAATGACTTTTAGGTTATCTGTATTATCTTTCTAGTCTCCATTGTTTCTGTCTGAAGCAGTCAGAGGATTTTACTATAATCTAGTGTTCACAGAAAAACCACAGGAATGCTGTGGTCCACATGTGGGACTCCGAGGACAGTTTAAAAAACTCCTCTTCACCAAGTGTCAGATTCTTTTGTGGGTTAAAAAAACCCATGCAAAGATTTAAAATGAACACGAACACATGCTGAGAGACTGAGCCTTGAAGTGGGCATTTCTGCATCTTGCCTTTATTACTGTGATGAATGTAATAAGAGACAGTTTTATGGCCTCAGCTACAGCTGTCAGTGTCTCCAGGACTGGAAGGGGGGGGGGGGGGGGTAATGTGACAAAGCAGTTCTTCAGACTTTTTCCTAAAAACAGTGTTTGTTTTCATCTCTCTTGGGTTGTCTTTGTTATCACCATACCTATTTCGTCATGTGTTTTGTAGAAAGTCAGACCCAGAGCCCAAATACTTTGGCAAAAAACGCCCACATTTTTTAACTTATTCAAAAATAATGAAAGGGAGTCACAAACACATTTTTGTTAGCTGTGAGGAAGACAACACGAAGGAAAATTCTAGTTATAGTTTCAGAGCACCGGTAACGGTTTAACAGTTTCTTAGGCCACAAACATAATCTGTATATAGCTTAAAATTTGACAAAACATTGGAAAAAAAAACAGTTTTTCACAAAGCTTTTTTTACTAGGATTTTCTACATCAGGGGGATACTTAATATGTGTAATTATGTCCTTATGTTATAGCCTGAAGGTAAAAAATGTAATGCGGATTTGTATATAGGGGGGTTTAAAAACTAATATAAATCATCGTTCATTGTGACAATTAGGTGCGTTATGAAAGCCACATGTGTTTGTCCTCAGAACACAGTAACAAAAAGAAAACTCTTTTGCTTTTACCAGATAGGAACAGACATTTACTGCTGTTTTGAAAACACAAATGGGACACTGTCCTGTGTCTTTTCCTCTATAGCAATTACTCTCTTGAGCTACATGGAAGCCACGAGAGGTCTTATTGCACTTTGGGGATTTTTCCCTTCATTGTTTTACATAACTTTAAAAAAAAGTTTTTTATGTAACATACCCAATGTAACAAAGTCCTATCCGGGAGTCGGAATGACAACAGAAACATGACTAAAGCCAATAACAGAGATTCATAACTTAAAAGCTCTCCTTATGGTTCTTATTGATGTTTTATGTCCACCATGAGCTGCAGCCAGTATTATTTTTGGGGCATTAAATGGTTCACCTGTCCAGGTGTACCCCGCCTCTTTTCCAATGTTTGCTGGGATAGGCTCCAGGGTGCCATTATGCTGAATCAGCTAGTACTAGACCTTCTATAACCCTGTTTCGCAAGTCATTCTTTATTCCATTGGTTATGGCCATGCTCCCTTCCTCTTCAAACATGGGAATATTTGGTGTGGCTATTTGTAGAAGATCTGGTTCTTTCACACAAAGAAAGAGAACATTTCTTTTTTTATCTGCTGTGTGGTGTACTGAACACTCAAAGCTGCAGGGACACTCGGCCTCAACACTGATCAGTAAAGTCTGAAATATTAAGCAATTTTCCCAAAACAATTATGCTCCAAATGATGAGAATACAAATAAAACGACACAGATTCCCACAATCTGTTAAAGGTTTGTACTGACGGCCTGCTGTATTTCCCAGAATAAAGGGTACCAGTGGCCGGTTGTTTTGTAAAGGTTCTCAGCCTCTGGTCATTAAAGCTTTACAAAAGTCCATCCACAACATTTGGTGATGTACATGTGTGGCCTTAATGAAATAACTTTTTCATTTCCTGTATTGTTTGGCTAAAATTCCATCAATGGATAACTCGACCTAAATGGTGGAGGCTGCTGATGACCGTTTGGACGGGCGACTGACCGGAGATCCCAGGCTGTGGCCCAGCTCGTGGGCCAGGGTCAGCTGGACCTGCCGGGGAGGCAGGAACTGTCCGTAGTTCTGAACCGTCACCAGGCCCGTGTTCAGGGTGGAGGCCCGGCCGTTCCGGAGGGTGATCTGCTGCGAACATACTCCTCCCCAGTTATCTGAGGTGGACAAAAAGAAGCAGGAACATGGAGTTGCTTTGATTACGGTGGTTTAACGAAAGTTATGTTTCAGTTTTGTTTGTCTGACGGCTCTTTAATGCCCACTGGGGCATTCTTTGTGGAATTTCCATGCTCTCTACATGTATGCCGGGGTTCGCTTTAGGTACCTCCAGGTGCTTCCTGCCATTGTACAAAAACCCGACTGTTAAGTTGACTGGTAATCCTACATTTTCACGAGTAGTGAGTGTGTCCCTGTATGGCTGCTCCAAACAAATGTCCTAAAATATTGTTCAAATTTCGTTAGAGTCAGCTAACATTTATGAACTTTCTAGTTTTGCTTAGTCACTAAAATTCATGTCAATCTCTAGCTGTTTTGTTCATTTTAAGAATGATACTCAGACACTGAGCTCATATGATATCTATGGTAGTACTCCCAAATTCCTGTTCTTTCTATGAAACATTGGATACACGCCTTCAAGGACATCATTCACACACACACACAGTTGTTACATTTGAGTGGAATCTGCGTGAATTGGGAGCTGGCCTGATCATGTCAGGGGTTTCTGGCCAATAAGACTCAGCCCAGCCCCAGATGATACATGTCCATCACACCTGGAAAAATGGGCTCTTTGCTGATAGAGATTCTTAGGGAGGATTGTCAATCGAACAAGTGCTTTGACTTGCTTTACATGTCACTTTCTCCAGTTATCACGCTATGAAAGTTGATGGAAACGACCTTAAATAAGGAGAATAGTCTAATTATGCACTTATGAACATCTTTTTGCTGAAAGTAGATTGATGATACTTTCCTTTTTTTTTTCTTTCTTTAGCTCAAGTATTAATAATGGCTAAAGTTTTGTTTTTCGGAAACAAATATTATTTCCTGGACTATCAAACTAGTTTGATCAAGTTTGTTTTTCAAATTTTCTTATTGTATGTGATTTACATGAATACTTTTTTAAGTTTTCTGATTATTTGAAGCCTTTGTTTGGTCTTCCCTGACAGGAAACAGCCTTGTCAACATCTTTTAACACATATAATGTTTATTAAGAGGGCAACAGATGTAGCATTTTATTCTTGTTTCATCAGGGGAATTCAGGATAATTCCTAACACCATGTAAAAACTTGATCCAATGACCAAGGGTGCAAACTCTAATCCAGTAATACTGGAACACATGGAAGGTGTGAAGGTGTCCATGTAAAACGTGGACAGCTTCACACGGGCTCATCGAAACAACACGTCAAAAATACAACACTGAGACATTCTGTACTTGGATATGAGGATTAAAAATATCATCCGTCCACAAGGGACACGCAGAGGTTAACGGACATACGGCTCAGAAAATGCTGTTGCCAGATGACTAATAAATCAACCTGTGGTCATTCCCATGAACTTTCCCATTGTTTCAGTCACCAGCTGTCTTGTCGGGGCCATGTTTCCTTCCAGTCATCCAGGTAAAATAGTTCATTTGAGCTGGAAATAATATTTTAACTGCAGGCTCATTTGCATATTCATACTTATACATGTTTTGTTTTTTTTAGATTTAAATTATAAGATGAGTCAACAATGTTTTAATGTACACCAATGAAAAATGAGTAAATTACAGCAATTTAGTCCTATTTATATGAAGTATGTTTTACCACGCCATCATTTTCTGCTGATCATTTTAATCAGTAACCTACATTTTGATCAGGTATTTTCTATTTAATTAGATTTCTTTTTTTGTGACAAAACAGGATTATTAACTGAGCATCTTCCAACAGTGGCCACTTCACTATGTTTACCAGTAGTCCTTGTTACATAAGAGCTTGTACTTTTGTGGGTGGAAACACCCACAACCAATATCTACAACCGGTGCGAGGTCGGGGAGGTATGCACAAATTGTTCAGTAGACTTCCTGACCCCCAGTTTACGGCCCGCGCTAACAGTTGACCTCTAGTGGTCAACTTTGTCTTTGAGTTTACATAATGGCCTCGACAGCCCCTCCTACGGCTGCAAATAGCCGGCCGCGTTCACATGGGTGGACGGATGGATGGGTTGCGCCATGGCCGCCCCGCTGGTCTTCAGGGAAACTTCACCAGCTCTGTTTGTTACAGATGTTTGTTCCGAGGTGACTCATCAGGTGCTACTGTGGACTCTGTAAGCCAATCACAGGCATCTGGATCTTAGGCCAACATGTTTCGTTACATTGCGAGTCACGTCTAAGGTCAGGGACAATTAGAAGTTTAAAAAAAGACAATAAGAATGCTGTATATCTCTGCTCTCCAGGAAAAGTGTCAGGAAATCCACTATCATACTTTATGAAGGAGGCTGATTATAGTGTGAGGTAAACTGAGAGTCATCTATCTCCAAGTGTCACATATTGTGAAGCTCAAAGAGATAGTTTTGCTTTATAAAGAGAAGTATTTTAAATAAACAGGCTTTAGAATGAGTTCTTCCCACAACCGAGTCTTTATAGAAGTCTCCCCTTGTTACGTTTATCCTGAATTCTGGATACAGTCCCTGCTTCTGACCTGAAAACACCCACCGGATGGACTATTCAGGAGGCTGGATTTCCTAGAAAGAGTGTTTTGGGTTGGAAGCCAGCTCTGTGATTTTTGGCAGCCAGAGCAGCCGAGGCCTGCTTTTGTTTTCTCCTTCTCATTCTCCAAACTACAGGAAGGACCATTAATCAATGTCCTTTTTTAGTCCTCTCGATAAACAAAGCGGAGCGGCACAGATAATTATTTGGATCACTAAAATCTAATGGAAACACTTTATCAGGAAAAAACATGTGTACACCAACAGCTTGAGAGAAGAAAAAAAAAACTAACTTTCTCTGAACATAACAAGACACATATACTCATATGGAGGCAGTTTTATATCAACAAAGAAAAAACTTTTAACTTATATTGAGGTGAGGGATGCAATAGTGTTAAAACGAGACTTTTAACTACAAAAACAGACGCAGCAAGCATGCCGATAGATTATAAAAGCAGCAGAGTTCCCAGAATTCTCACATCAGAGCTACTCTGAAGGCCATCCAGAAGTACTGTAAATAGTGTAACTGCATCCAGTGACTTTTCGATCACATCCCTCTGTTTTTAGAGTTCATTGACCTTCTACCAGTAATATAAAAGGGGGATTTTCTCGAAATCTCAATCGATTTCGATCATGCCAGTGTAGATACCAAAAGCTTTAACGTAAAGAAAGTTCATGACAAGTTTTATTTAACGTTTCATTTCGGTTAAATCAACATTAATCAAATACACAAAACCTTCTCTGACCAAAACTTCATCCTAATGGGAGCATAAATTCACCATGTGGGAGCATACATTGATTAAATATTGCCATTAGAGTGGCAGGTTTTAAAAGGAAAACTATTAACAAGCTGGATGGCCTTGCTTCTTTTCTTTTGCTTTTACTTCTAATCTTTGTCTAAACAGAAAAAGTGGTCTTTGTTATTTTTACATATAGCTTCCTCGCATGATAGAGCTTTGACCCACATTGGTGGATGAGTCTTTGAGCCCATTCAGTGATGTCATTTAGAAAGTGCCAGGCCTGTTGGATGTAGTGCTGCCTGAGGCCCTACGGGTCACAAGCCTCCCAGACTTTTGGATTTTTGGTTCTGTTTCCTGAAACGATGACCACAGAGCTGGACCTGACACATTTATAAAAGTAGGCCACCTGCCTCTCTAACCTGGTAAATACAAAGAGGAATGAGCACATTAAGAGCACACGTGTGATGCAATTCTTCTTAAACAGCTTCAAACAACTATCATTTTCTTTTACAGTGATAAAGATGTTTCCAGATTCTCTAAATCTATGGATGAAACCGAATAATCAAAATCTTAACCATTTTAAGTCTGGAATTTCTATTCTATTTCTATTTTTATTTTTATTCTCGATTTATTGTTACAGTTTTCTGCATATGCCTGAATTCTGCTTATATGAACCACTTTTGGGGATCTTTACTACTTTGAAGTGTTCTTTTTTTTTTTAAACTCAGTTATGTTTTTTTAGCGATTTAATTTCAGGATCACTTAGCTTTCCAGCCTTTTGTTGCTCCCAACAACAAAAGGATGTTTTGCCATCATAGAAATAAAAAGCATCTTATCTTTTTATGGAACGCTAAAAAATCTCACCTTTAAAATCTTCCGTTCTCTGTGTTATAATTTTGTTCAAATGTCAGCTCATGACAAAAAGCTATCTGGGACTGATATCCTGCTTATAAATCAATTCTGCCAAAAAATTGTCTGGAGAGGACTCGGACACAATGTCTTTTTTTTTCATAAGTTATTTTAAGTAGGTTATTTTACTTTTTTTAAATGCTCCATGCAGTATTAATAGTTTTCAGATAAATGACCTGTACTAAACTATAGTATTTCTGTTGTGTGTTTTTTTGTTGCAGGCCAGTGAGGACGGCTGATAAAGGATTCCTTAAGTTGAATACTTTCTTTGCGAGTTACTTTCTTCGATTAGTGTCAGAATAAGACAAAAGGTCTGAAGTGTGGTGAGCAGTGAAACGTATGGGCCCCAACCCCCTATCCTGCCCCGATGTATGAACACATAACTTAAAGGGGTTAGAGGAGGAGCTTCGCGTGGTGGATGGGGGTAGTGGTTGTCTGTATGAGTGTGTTGTGTTTTTCTGCTGGAGACTTTGCCGGAATAGGGGTCTCTGAGTTTATAATCCTGCGTTGGGAGTTCTCCTATTACTCAATATCGCTAATAAACCGGAGTCAGAGGTGGTAAAGACCTTGGTTGTATCTGTGGGTTAACGATTATCTATTCACATGAGACTGAGCAGTTCAAGCTAGTCACCAACACTTTGAGTCCACGCTATATGTGTGTGCACGTATGTGTGTGTGTGTGTGTGTGTGTGTGTGCTCGTCCCTCACGTGCGACGTAACCATGGCGACCATGCATTGGAATGCAGGCTTTAACCCTCAGTAGGACGCCAAAGGTTCACTGCACCCTCATCACATGACACAGAGCTGGCCTGCTCTCACGCCCCCCACTTTAACCAATTAAAGCTGCACATGAGACCAGTGGGTTTAAACACGCAGGAAAAACGTCCTGTCAAAACAACTTTTGCACGAGCCCAGCTCTCCTGTGCACGGCCGTGCTTACACGTATATAAAAAAATTCCATCCCAAAGCCGGCTGATGTTTGCTTCATGCTTGTGCTTGTTCAGTTTGCTTACTTTCCAACTTTCCAAGTAATGCTTGCATGCTTTTTTGTTGTATTTTTAACTGCTTTATATGTTGATAATGAACTTAAAAGAATGAAAAGGAGATTACTGTGTGGATAGTTGAAGATGTCAGGTGAGGATAGGGGTGTTTTTCTGTGCATTTCGCAGAACTATTCAAGGAGGGATCTGCCAATTTTTTTTTTTTTTCTGGTTTCTCAAACCAAAACACAGACTCAGTAATTCATGCTGAGATTGTGGAAACTTGAGCGCGTGTGGGAGTGAGGCGAGCAGCCCACGCCGACCTTTTGGCCCCTCAAGCCCAGAGGCTTCTCCCAGGAGCCAGAGATGAAACTTTACCGTGACGGATAAAAAATTAATCTTAAAGTTTCCCCATGGTCATTCTTTTTAATGCACAGTGGTGCGTGTAAATCTTGTTTTTCTGTTTGGGCTGGCATGTCCTCTTAACACATTGTTCTTCATTGTTATTTATTTTCTTTACTTAAGCTACAGGTATGAAACCTACATAAGCATTGTAGTCATTGTTGATCAGCTACTAGTTATAACCCTTTTCTCAAATTATCTGCAAATACAAAAACTGATGTTGAATTAGAAAACTTGTTTTTTTAATAAGACCTTTCTTTCCCCTCAAGACCAACATCTTGCGTTATTCCATTCCCATCTAAGTTACAGTAAAATGTTCTTCCTTGACGTAAAGGCCGTAATTGTCTTTACCTTTAGGGCATCATTTCCATGTGTAAGCTAAAGTATAGCTGAATTTAAAAAAGGCTGCTTAATATGGGGCTCCCTCTGCCTGGAAACGGTTGTGAAACCACTTGAATATCACGAAGCTGTTTCCAATATAAGAAATCGTGAACAATTTTGAATGATTCTGAAGTTGGATGACCTGGTTTCAATTGTACGAAATACTAGCTTTTTCTTGAAAAAAAAACAACAACAATGGAAGATATTGAATTTACAGCTTTAATTGGCGCTTCTGATTTGAAGAAAATTATTTCTGGACCCCTTCATGATTTTCACTTAAAAAAGTACATTTTGGCAGTGGAATAATTCATGTTTTTTTACCGTGCTGCTGACAGAATATTGTAACAAGAGTAGTAATGTAGACTGATTAACTGTTTTTGTTGGCTTAATAATTAGCAGCTACAGCTGTGATGGAGCATGATGCCTGTCAAGAAAGTTATGAGCACAGAGGGACAACCATGTTTTTTCTGTGTCCCCCACCATCTGCACATTTCTGCCGTGAATTGAATCGAGCAGACTTTTAATAGCGACGTCCAACTAACCTGACCGGCCGCTCAGCAAAGAATCCTTTAAATGTACATTTCTACTTCTTCTTGGGCATGTTTAGATGTGTCAGAATCTCCAAAATCTAGAATTTCCAAAAGCAAATGCCCCCCCTACTAAAGTATTATATTGCTGTGGTATTGAAGTTGGAACTTCTTATAAGTCAAGCTTGAATTGGGAAAACCCTGGATGGGATTTAGAGCTGGATACCTTTTCTCCATAACCCTATAATGCCAAATGTATCATATTTGATACATACGGTTTCTGAAGTCTTTTGGATCTGAGACTTTTTGCATAATTCAATGGTAAAAGCTTTGCTCAAACCCCTGTTGTACAAATTCAGATATACCTGATAACAGCCAGTAGAAGACTACACCAAAATACATTTTTGACTTATTGCACGCTAATTTGATCAAAATAATTTCTGTTTTTCTTTCTTCATATGTTGTTGAGGGGCCAAAGAAAGAATTCAGACAAAAAAAATCCAATATTCTTCCTATTTTTCTTGGATCAAGCTTTAAAGGGTCAATGTCATTTTTGTGAAATGCGAATGGTTAATTGTAGTATAGTATGTAAAAGTAAAATAAATAGTAAAAAACAACAACTTTTTAACTTAATTTGACGATTGAGATGTGTTTTACAGAGCGGAAATTAAAATGATATCGTTAAAAGTGGTCTTAATATTGAAAATTAGCTCCTGGGAAAAGATTTGCCCTCATATCCCAAACATTTCCCTTTAATTAATCAATCAAAAAGGGCACATGTACAAAGATATTAACTGCAGCGTAGGATCTTTTTGGAACTTACTTGTTTTGCCTTCCCAGGCGAGTCCCAGCACCCCGCTGTAGTCTCTGTTAGTGAGCAGGTAGGCCAGGCAAAAGTTTCCCCAGTTATTCTCCGAAAACAGGCTCAGCAGTTTCTCTGGACCGATGAAAAGAGGATTCAGAGGATCACTTTTATTCTCCTCAGTGACCACCTAACGGGAAGCAAACAGACAGAAGTCACCTGGTGTAGAGAATCCAGGATCCTATTCGACCTCTTAGTGCTTAAAAAGCGAACCTTTTATCAATTATGCCGATGGAACGCTTTTCAAATGAATTCTAACAAGGTTGTGGCATGTTTTTGAACTGAAACCAGCATGTGAAAGGCAGGATTATTGTTTTTTTTAGAGTACTCTGCATCATAAGTGTGCCACGTCAAAGTTCGGAACAACGTTGTGACTGTTTTGGTGCACAAAGTGCTTACGTGAAGGGATTTAACTTTGAAGTTAATCAGCTTGATTCCTTCAAAGTCAGCCTTGTCGTAGATGTCGTTCACCGCCCGCATGTAGGAAGCCACCTGAGAAGGATGCCAAAAGACAGTAAACGTATAACCGGTAAATGTATAACCAACAACATGTCCTCTGGTGGCACATGATGACTAACCAAACAACGGAAGGTTTTTTTTAAAGTTACAGAACAAACTCCACAACAAAGGTAACATTTAATGTCTCTTGGCAACACTTAAACTGTTTTAAACTACCTGGTCAATGGTGCACCAAGCAGATTAAAGAGATGATAAAACCTCATTAGGACAATCAGCTTTCACTGTACAAGGCACAAAAACCTGGAATTCATTACCTGCAGAACTGAAGGGAGAGTCAAACTGGGTCCTTTTTAAACACAAACTTAAAGACTTTTTATTGAGAGGTCGGACATGTGGACATTATTAATCTGACTGTCTTGATCTTTTTATCTGTGATGTTTTAGTGTGTAATTTGTTGTGTTGTGTACAGTCACTGTGTTTCGTGTAAAAGCCTAACTGGGGACAGGCATTGAGAATTAGCCTTATAGCTAAAATGTTATAGTGTGTGACATGTTTCGTGAAACATACTTGTCCCTATCGAATAAACGAATAAATAAATAAATAAAATAACACTTTCGAGCAAATGGTGATCATGATGCGGGAACCCATCACATGACATAAGGTCACCACAATGCCAGAGTGGCACAGTTTACTGCCCTTTGAGGGAGGCGCATGCCAAACGGTCACGTGTGGAGGTCTAACAACAGGCTGAGGGACGTGATCCGCACAGGAGCCTGCTGGGAAGTTTCCATAAAAACAAATATAATGCCACGTGCTGGCGGGAGAAACTGAACCAGGTCAGAAGAGACCGACAAGTGCGCGTTATTATTCTTTTTTCCAATATTTCATCGGGGTATCGCTTACTGTTTACGTTCTCACCCGGCACAACAGAGAAAGAAAAAAAAAAAAACTGGCACTGAACCAGCAACCAGTGTGAGCGTGCTTAAGGTGGAAAGAATCTGAGGATGGCCAGAGGAGGTGATGAGAGGATGGACAGCAGGAAGAAGGCCCGAAATATAAACAGTGTGACCACATTAAGAGCTGAGTGACTTACCCATGGACTGACCTTGCTTTGACCACTGAAGAATGTGATTACAACAAGTGTGAAAACAGACATAGCATGTTGGCCTGATTCAGATGCTGAATATATAAACTCAAAATATGGATTAATCAGGGCTTTTATCATTTTGCATCAAATAGGAAATTATTAAAAGCTGTTTATCTATTTTATTACTCTATTCTAATCATATCAAAGTCAGTTCATGAGACTACAAGTGTTTTTGCTCATATTTCTGAAGAATTTCAATGATAGATATTTAATCTTTTGTCCTTTTTTGTTAAGAACTACAACATGTGAGGGTGCATACGCAAACTCACCTGTCGTCTGCTCTATTTTTCTAGTTTCTAATAGTTTGTAACTACCGTACAGAGATTTCTTTACCCTGAGCGGTAAAAGTCCTCTCATTTTTATTCAAAAAGGCATTTTTTCTGCTGTGATATTGTCATAAAGCATATTTTCTTAGTTTGAAAGTCTGAATTGGGACATGAAATGTGTTTTTTTTTTTTTTTGCAAAAGCAAATACCAATTATTTTCCTTCTGATGGCATAGAATATCATCTATAATACTCCTTACTCCTAAATATCTGATGCTAAAACCACATCCTGTGAAGGGTTGGGAACTATTTATTGAATCTCATAGCTATGAGATATCTCAAAAAGTCTAACCCTAGTGACTTTGTAGTTGAAGTTATAAGAAAATATGAAAAGTCAGTTTTTACTGTAATATTGGAACAGGTATGTCTGTATTTTTTAGTTGAACTGATTTTAAATATAGAAAGCAAGCAGAGAGCAGTGACGACAGGATGATATTTGATATTTGTAAAAATTCAGCAAAACTTGCCGATCCTATAATGCAAATTACGTAGAACCTTAGATATCATGATCTGATCACCTGAGCCACGACGGCTTCGATGGATTTGAACCTATTGTAGTAGAGGTGGTCGGCGTGGAAGTGCAGCAGGCAGCTGGTCTTCGCCTCATCGACTGTTCTCCTGGAACGGCTCGCTATTGTCTCCTGTGGATTTAAATGGAAGGGCAAGAGAAAGCGAAAACATGTTCCCCAGGCAGATTTGTACTTTAGAGGCATAGGTCGTATAGCCTATGTCTATTTATATGTAAGAAATTATTTTTAATTTTGTAAGTGAAAAACCTCCAGACTGTTTCGATTAAAAAAAAAACGTGTGTGAAATCCACATGAATGAAACAGTGCTGTGGTGCTGGCAGTGGTGTCCCATTGGGAGAGGGGCCAGGTTGAAAAAAGGGGACACAACTTGGACAATCATCTGGGAAAAACATCTGTTGAGGCCATTCCACCACCAAACTGTGGAAGTGATCTCCTTCGGCAGGTATTTTTGTTAAAAATGGATCCGCGGCCGCGTCCACTGTTCTGCCGCTCACAATAGAACCTGGGGGCCACCACCCACTTGGTCAAAGGTTAACAATAACAAGGGTACCCAGGGGGGAGATTACCTTAACGTGTGCGGCAGATGCTTATCGGGGCTGTTTTGATCATCTTACAATACAGTCAAGGTTGTCTGCAAAGAGGCAGCTTTCAGCTTCCTGTGTCACACACAGTTCTCTCAGTATGACAACATCCGTCTGGAGTCACACTCTGAGGGGTTTGTTTAGTAGTGACATGGCCACCGAATGTGACCGAATGAATGGACGTTGTCATGAATTAGGTCAGCCGTGACAGATGAATCAGAGGTTTCTTCGTTGAAGAAGTATGAATCGGCAGTTGTTTCTGCTATAAACGGCATCCCGAAGGAGGATTTTTGAGGGCAAAGGCCGAAAAGAAATAAAAACTTGCTCGCTATTTTATTTCCTCACCGAAGTTCCATCCCTACCTGATCTGATGCCAGGCTTTGGGTGATGACGTTGAGATGTTCCGCAGCACAGAATCCATCAGTGCGATGTGCCATTTGTGGGAGGACTGTAAAGAAAAAATCTCTTACTGTCTCCTGTATTGATCAATTTAATCTTCTAAATGTAGTCCCAACACGCACAAAGATTCATACAAACAAGCAACACTTTCAACATTTCATCTCTTTGAATGGGTTCATTTAGTCCTACTTTTTGACTGTTTAGCAAACACTATGAATGGATGAATAGAGATCAAATACGACATTTGTTCAGTCCATTACTATAAACGTATTAGAACGATCAATTGAGTCAGTACATTTGTATCCATAGCTAAGCATTCCCTTATTTACCCGTAGATGAAATAGAACCAGTATCACTCCATATACATTGTCTTTTAGATACTAGAGTAATGATTGTGATGTCATGTTAATCAATAAACTGAGTTTCATCAGAGCATGACAACAGTTACTGGCACAAAAGCTGACTTTCAGCCTTTGTCACACATAGAATGAGACGTGTGTGCTGTGTGGGTAGACGTTCAGCTAAATATCTGACATTTTTAACCCCCATAAAATATCAAATAGATACAAAAATAGAGGAGCTGTTTGATTGGGCGGTATTTCCATCAAGGCCAATTTGACTCAAGTGTGTCAACAGGCAGAAATGATTCAAATGTCATCTGCACTCCGGGTGTGTTGGTCATACACATACAAATATATATATATATATATTCATGTGGAGGTTTTTCAGCCTTTTTTAAATGGAAGAAAAACTTTAGCAAAGCCCTGCCTGGAGCTGCTATTTAGTGCTGGACTGAGTCTGCCATGATAGAATGGAAAACTCTGCTGGGTCAGGGACATCTGGAATATCCTGGTTAATGTTCTGCCATAACTTATGATAAGCACGAGGGGGGTGATTTGCCTTCTATACCAAATAGTTTCTTACTTTCTGACTCAGGTCTTAATCCGCAACGAAGCCAAATTAAAAGTGGCAACAGAGCGTAATGGACAGCAAACTTAATGATTTTCCAGTCCACTTAGTTGTGAGTATGATGTTTTCAAAGGGATAATTAGCATTTTATTTGTGTGCTAGTTTGCAAAGCAACTTAAAGAAAATGTCAATCATTTTTAAAATGAGGATACTATCATTGTCACGTTTAATTCTCTCTTCTGCATTTACTTATTAAACCATAAATAGGAGCATCAGGTGCCCTTCTTCCTCTTTATGAGCCGCAGCTAACATATGTTCAAGCACCGTCACATTCTCAGACACTTTATAAATAGAAGATCCGGATTTGGAAATTAGCACAGTGGTCTCGAGGAGCGCTGGTACATCTGCCTGTGGAAACACTGAAAGATCTGCTGAAATGCTGTCTTCACTTTGTAATACCGTGGAGACAGCTCCTATTTTTTTAAAACTGATGCAATAGTGATTGGACGGCAGTCCGTTTGGAGACATATTGCTCTAAAAAAAGCCACAGGATTTCACAAAAATGCAGAAGGCCAAAGGATAATGCAACGGGGTTATCTGATTTATGGTCAGGGATTGTGGAGAGTTTGAATGTAAAGTTTCCAAAGTGGAATAGTCACAAGCATTTCAGTTATATAACTAGTGACTAGTCATACAGTAAAGAATCATCCTTGAATCACGGTGTTACAGGCGAAATAATCCCTTTTGCATGTTTTATTCCTCACGGCGTATCATTATTTATCTGGTGACCAGTAGCAATGTCTTGGAAAGTGCACAAAACCAGTTCAGTCCACCAAAACAAGGCAAGGCGACACATGACAAGATCACGCCACCTTTCACCGTCCCTCAGCCAATCACAAACATCTATGCCGTCAATCTATGTATGGCAGGAGTTGGAATGGGGGTGGACGTAGAGGCCGAAATGCGGCCGCTGACCACTCGGCTCGCCCCTGAATGTTTTCTCAGCCTCTGAGGGTATCTCCCTCTTATCTGCCGCTGTGGGAATTCAAGCTTTCTGACGAGTGAAGCCAAACTTGCACATAGTTTGCGTACCAACTGAAGGATATCTGCATATTTCCAACCTATTCAGGGTGGTCTTTAACACCTTTTCATTGATGAAAAAGAAAAAGAACGGGGTTTGTCAACCAGTGTAAAAAGAAATATCAATTATATAGATTTAAAAATCTCTCATATTTCAACTATGATTTAATTTGAGGTACCTTTTTTATGCAGTTTATCTCATGTTGCATAATGTTTAAAGCTTTTGGAAAAAAAAATAAAAAATGTGCCAAATACAGAATAGAGCAAAAATACCAAAACAGGAACATTATTTGGTCTATTATGTATTTTTTTCATTTATTCTTGTATTAAAGTAAAAAGGTTTAGTGCTATAGGAGTAGTATTGAAGGGTTAATATTCTTATCATCTATATTATGTCTATGGAGCATCTTAATTTTCATAAGAATGAGCCTCAGTTATCCTAAGTGTGCAACAAGTTCTCCCTGTCAAATTGAAGTAGCCTGAAAGTATATTATGACCCAACCTTACAGGGATAGTTCATAGTTCAGCTAGACATTTAGAGCGAACTGTTTTACAATTTGTCTGCTAATTATTCTGCAAATTAGCCTACTTTGTGACGGGCGTTTTGGGGGAATGCAGACAGGACCTGAGGACACGTTGCATTTCCGTCTACTTTTTGGAGTTACTGATGGAACTCGGGTGCGTGCGTGTCTTTTCTTACATCTGTGTCCTCACTGCACACCCCTTAGAGACTGATAAGCTCGTCACATTGCTGCAACACCAAGAGTTCATCCAGGGTTTCAAATCCTATGAGCCACAGATATCATTAAGAAATCATTAAGAATCATTAAGAAATACACTGAGGGATAATTTACGTGGCTGTTAAACTGAAGAATTGGCCAATTTTTATGATTGGGAGATAAAAGCTCAAGTGTGTTTTGAAGAGGCACTTTGAAACAGTTATGAGGGAGGGGAAAAATACTACGTTTTGACCTAAAAAATCACTCTGAACTGAATGAGTAGCAGTCGAATATTGCAGATTTGCAATTACACTAAAACTTTGAGTAAGTTTAATTTTGATTTTAATGTTATTGAAGATATGGGTTCAGGTATTGAATCATGTTTGAATTTAAATGAACTGGAACATCCCCATATTGATCCAAATTGCTAAGCTTTTTTAAGATATTCTAGTTTAATGTAGATTAACAATTACTTTTCTGATCATCGAAATCTTATGCAAAACCATTACCAAGGATAGATAAACTAATAAAGATGACAAAACATTTTTTTTCCTTATTATAGATATTTTGTGGAGTTGATGGTTACATCACATGATTATCAAGGGAATAAACTGTTCGCATGGTTCCCAAGATAGCGCCCTTTTGAGTTTAAGAATATCTAGGAACTATCATTGACGTATTTACCAATATCGTCGATTTCAAAACTAGATAATTCACCATGACACGCTGTCCTTATGATTTTGCATTGTACTTGGCTGTCCAAGGTGTACCCTTTGTCCCAGATCTGACAGGCCTCATGACATCGGGAATCCCTCGGGATCCAACGTTCCTCATGCGAACCTTTTGATGTCCAGACGACAACCGCAGGAAGCAGAAATACGCTCATTATGTCACCGTCTTGAGCCTCGGCGTAGCATGTTCTATAGAGGCCGATTGTTTTGCTGTAATATCACATGCTAAATCTCTCCCAGCTTCCTGCAGATAGGCTGGCCCGCGAATGAAAGGACAGGATGTTGCCGGCCGTAAAGCGCGCTAAAAGAAGGGTTTTCCATAATTTGGCTCGGAAAAAAAAATGGCAGGAGCAGCTGAGAGGAAGGCGGCCATGGAGCCTGTGTGAATTTAAGAACAAACACACTGTGTACAGGTGGGGGGGAGCGTGGGTGTAGGGGGGGGCTCCTGGCGCACTCTGTCCTATCTCTCCTGTAAAATGCTTTCTTGGAACTGATTCTAAACCAATGCAAAAATTCGATGCAATGCAAGGGACTCACACGTGTGATGAAATGCACATGCCCGACAACATTTTGATAGATTTTTGATGATTTCCATGTTGCAGATCATAAAAGTAATCAAAAGAAAGCAAAGATTTGCTTTCAAGCTGTCGTTGTAACAGTCGTCTCCACGATTTGATGCCTTAAAAAACTTTAAAAAATGCAATTAAAAAAAGTAACACTGCGCACAACCCTTCTTTTTCTTCTTCTATTTTGGAAAATGTACACTCTA